GTCGTCCTCGGGCCCCTCGTCCTCTGGCTGCTGTGCGGACTGGCGGCGCTCGGCTTTCTGGTAGGCTCGCTTCTCCTCGTTGTCGCTGCTGTTCGGGATCTCCTCCAGCTCTCTGGTGCGTTTCTGGCTCTTGACGTCCTCGAGCGGTTTCTCGTTCCCGCTCCCCTTGGAGTCCTGGAGCGGCTTCTCCTCCTTCTTGGGGTCCTCGCGCTTCTCGCTCTCCTTGGGTGCCTCGAGCGGTAGCTGCGTGCTTATCTCGGGCATCTCATCCACGTCGAGGAAGCTCGGCAAAGACATCCTCGATGCTCGGAGCCCTGGCGCTCTGTCGCGTCGGCTTGGGTCTTGGTCTGTGAAACTCTTGAGAAGCTCGGAATCTTGAGCCACCAAATGACTACGGATATCAGCATTGCTTGTTTCGTTTGAGACGCCCTCAAAGAAATAATTCCTTGTCTCGCTTGAGACATCCTCGACAAATCTCTCGTTTCGCTTGAGACCCCCTCGAAATAAATGTTTGTTTCGCCTGAGACATCCCCAACGAATTGCTTATTTCGCTTGAGACACCCTCGAAATGATTGCCTGGTTCGCTTGAGACATCCTCGAAATAATTGTTGGTTTCGCCTGGGACATTGTCCGAGAATTGCTTATTTCGCTTGAGACATCCTTCAAATAATTGTTTGTCTCGCTTGAGGTATCCTCGAACAATTGCTTATTTCGCTTGAGACATCATCGGAGTCGCATTGTTTTTTTTGTTTGGTTTGGGTGGGGGGCGGGGTCTCGCGCAGAAGCTCGGAACAACTGAGACTGCTCGCAGTCACATGTTCATAACCTTGCTCTCGAACTCCTCGGCTGCCCTCGCAAGGAGACCCTTCTTGCGCACCGCCTCGAAATGCTCGCCCGTGCACGCCCTGCATCCTTTGGACCCGTCCTTGAGCATCTCGCATGTCTTGCAATCCTTGGCCGCTTGCAGGGCTGCCTCGAGGGTGGCGTGCTTGGGCTCGGCCTCCAGCGGATCCTTGGCCTTGCTCTTGGCCTTGCCCTTGGGCTTGGCCTTGCCCTTTGCCTTGGCCTGGGCGGCAGCGTTGCCGCTCGCATCTAGCAGCTCCTGGATCCACTCGTTGCCTCGCGAGTAGATGTCCTGGACGGTGCACGGAGGCAGGCGGCCCTCGCCGCGGATCTCGCGCAGGGCGCGCTCGAACCAGCTCGTCACCCACAGGCCGCAGGACCTCCCGTCAAGTTGGAACCTCGCGTTGATCGGAGCGGGGCACTCGACCTCAGGACCCAGGAGCTTGTGGAGGATCCTCGTGGCCGCCTGCTTGGCGGAGTCGGACGGTACCTTGAGGGCGTCTCGGTACTCGATGGCCACGTTGGCGCGCTCCTTGGTCACCTTGAGGTAGGTGTAGTGCGCTGGGTTCTCGCTGTGGACGCAAATGAGGATGTGCTTGGCGTTCTCGAGTTTCTCGAGCCAGGCCTTCTGCTCGCCCTGGGCCTCGGTCGTGGGCTCGTCGTCGCCTTGTTCTCCACGGGCCCAGGTGACAGCGATTGTCGGCTCGATCAGCAGGGCGCCCTCGGGAACGCCCACTCGCTCCTCGATCTCGCCTATCAGGGCTCGCACTGTGCCGAGCTCGAGGGCGCGGTTCTTCTCGACGAACTCGCAATTCGTGATCGCCAGATGCTTGGCGAGCTCGGTGCGCTTGAACTTCCTGCGCGATCGCCAATCTATCTTGAAGGGCTTGGCGGGCGCCCACTCCTGCTCGACCACGACCTCCCAGGCTCGAAGGCCGATGGGTCGCTAGGGGCGACCTCCCGCTCGGCTTCCGCTGCCCGTCCGCTCGGCTTCCGCGCGAACTCCCGCTCGGCTTCCGCGTCAACTTTCGCTCTGCTTCCGCTGGCCCTTCTGCTCGGCTTCCGCCCTTGCCCCATTGCCCCTCGTGCCCGGTCGGGGCGGATCTGGAAGATCGCCGCCGTCTCGACCTCGAGCACCCGGAGATGGCACTCGCCCTCGCAGTCCTTGACGCGCCAGACGTCTTGAACTCTGCCGTGCCTGCCCTCGTGCAAGCACTCCTCGCCGACCCGCGCGATCTTGCCGTGCCAGGGCGAGTCCGTGCATGGCTCGAGGCCCTCGTTCTGCTTCTTCTTGTCTGTTGCCGTCTTGTTACGCTTCGCTTTCAGCTTCTGCTTGAGCTCTTCTGCGAAGGAGGTCTTCGGCTCGGAGGCTCGCCCTGTCAGCTTCGCTTTGGCGATGCCTCGGCTCTTGCTCTCGAGTGCGCCTCGGCCCTTCTGCTCGCGCTTCGCCCTGTTCCACTTGGCCGCCAGCTTGCCCGCGCACTGGCCTCGGAACTTGCTCGCCCACTTGTTCTCGCGCTCGTTTCCCTTGCGAAGCCTAGCTCGGCCTCCCAGGGCGCGCGGGAACTGGATATTCCTCATGCGCTCCTCTGGCGGCTTGAGCATCTCTCGCTGCTCGTCTGTGAGCTCGAGGTCTAGCTCTGCAAGCTCGAGGAGGCAGGGGTTCTCGTCGCCCTCGTAGTCCCTCGGCAAGTCCTCGACTGCGAACCACCCGCCGTCCAGCGAGCTCCAGTCGGGCACTGGGGGCACGTTCTCGGGCCAGCTCGCAACGGCCTCGAGCCTCTCCCTCGCCAGTCTCGGCTCGATGCCTCGGCCAGCCTCGGTGGAGTAGCTCCAGGGTTCGTCGCCCATCACGATCTTCAGCTCGTTCTGCTCGGTCGGCCTCGCCGCGACCCCCCCCCCCACCCCCCCCCCCCCCTCATCTTCGCCCCCCCCCCCCCCCTGCCCTGCCCCATTCCCCCCCCCCCTTCTCTCACTCCCCCCCCCCCCCCCCCCCCCCCCCCTTTCAGGGTGCCGCGGGGGGGGGGGGGGCGCAAGGTTACGGGAGGAGAGATAGAGAAGAGAGAGAGAGAGAGAAAAAGAAAAGGAGTAGAGAGTGGAGAGAGAGAAGAGGAGAGAGAAAGAGAGGAGAGAGAGAGAGAGAGAGAGAGAGAGAGAGAGAGAGAGAAGAAAAAAAAAAAAAAAAAAAAAAAAAAAAAAAAAAAAAAAAAAAAAAAAAAAAAAAAAAAAAAAAAAAAAAAGAGAAGAGAAGAGAAAGAGAGGAGAGAGAGAAGAGAGAGAGAAGCGAGAGAGAGAGAGAGAGAGAGAGAGAGAGAGAGGAGGAATAAAAAAAATCTAGAGAACATCAACACATATAATATATATATATATATATATACGGACAAGAGGAAGAGCAGGAGGGGCAGGAGGAGGAGAGAGGAGAGGAGAAGGGGCAAGCGAAAATCCAAACTCCAAAACGTATTAGATTTAATTTGTAAACGCTTGATGAAAAATTTAAATGCGGCCATCTGCGCGCGCAGGGTAGCCTCCCGCGCCCCCCCCCCCCCCCCCCCCCCCCCACGCCCCCCCCCCCCCGGATAATCAACCGCGTCGATAAACGAGTTCAGGGCGCCAGGGGGCGAGAGGAAGGAAACAAACACGAGGCATCGAGAAAAATAAAAAGCAGGGCGGGAGGAGGAGGCGGAGGAAAGAGGGAAGGGGAAGGAGGAAGCGAAAATCCAAAGTTCAAAACTTATTAGATTTAATTTGTAAACGCTTGATGAAGATTGAAATCTCCCTCTGCTCGCGCAGGGTAGCCCACGTGCCTCGTTTTCCCAAGATAATCAACCGCAGCGATAAATAAGCGCAGGGCGCCATGGGGGCGAGAAGAAGGAGAAATAAAAATATATATAGAGAGAAACAAAAGAAGAGCAGGGGGAGGAGGCGGAAGAGAGAGGAGAGGAGAAGGGGGAAGCGAAAATCCAAATTTCAAAACTTATTAGATTAAATTTCAAAACGCTGGATGAAAATTAAAAGTTTAATCTGCTCGCGCAGGGTAGCTCACGCGCCTCATTTTCCCGGGGTAATCTACCGCAGCGATGGGCAAGTTCAGGGCGCCAGGAGGGAGGAGGGGAAACAGATCGATAAAGATATAGAGATAGAAAGATAAGGAGAGGAAGAGAGAAGGAGGAGGAGGAGGAATAATAGGGAGAGGAGAGAAGGTAGAGGAGCAGGAGGCAGAGGAGGGGGGCGGGAAGGAGCAGGAGGAGAAGGAGGGGGAGGGGGGGAAGAAATGAGCAGGTGGAGGTGGAGCAGGAACGGGATTCCCACACTGCTTTGTTTGAGCAGGTGGAGGTGGAGCAGAACGGGATTCCTCAAGCACTGCTTGTTTCGCTTGAGACATCCTTGGGCGAACGCCTGATTCGCTCGAGACATCCTCGGGCGAATGCTCGGGGTCATCTTGGCAGCTTTCTCGGAGATCCTCTTAGGATTCTCTTGAATTCGTTGAAGATCCAAGCTCCAGGCTCGGGCTCCCTCTCCTCCTCCTCGACCTCCTCCTCCTCCCCATCTTCCTCCTCCTCCTGCTCCTGCCCCCTCCCCCCTGCCCACTCCCCCCCCCCCCCTCCCCCCTTCCTCCTCCCTCTCCTCCTCCTCGCCCTCATCCTCCTCCTCCTCCCCCTCCTCCTCCCTCCCGCCGCCTCACTGCGAGCATCTGGTTCGCTTGAGACATTCTTGAACCGACGCCTGATTCGCTCGATACATCCCCGAGCGGATGCTTGGGGTCATCTTGGAAGCTTTCTCGGAGATCCTGTTAGGATTCCCTTGAATTCGTTGAAGATCCAAGCTCCCGGCTCGAGATCCTCTTCCTCCTCCTCCTCCTCCTCATCTTCCTCCTCCTCCTCCTCCTCCGCCTCCCCTCCTCTTCCTCCTCCTCCTCCTCCTTTTCCTCCCCCTCCTCCTCCTCCTCTTCCCCCCCCCTCCCCCCCCTCCTCCCCCCTCCCCCCTGCGCCCCTTCCCCCCCCCCCCCCCCCCCTCCCGGGACCCCCGACCACGGCCGCCTGAAGTTCCTGCGCGGCGGGAACGCGTTGCAACCGCCCGCTGCGACAGCCAGCGCGCACTCTGGCGCAGGTGAAGCGCAAGCGGTAGCCGATGACAGTATCGACCGAGCACTTTCGCAAATGCTTGGCGACTGCTTGAAGAGCGAGAGCCACACCGACGAGGGACCGCCCGAGAAGCGCCAGAAGACCAATACGGACTTTGTCAAGAGCTTACTCTTCGCGTCGACCGCGGGGTCTTCAGGTGATGGTTCTTCTACGGTGGGAATGGCGCGGCCTGCCGAGGCTCCAGATGCCCCCGCGGCGGTTGAGGCAGTCACGAAGGACCCCATGAAAACGGCCAGGGAGATCATGGATAAGGCGTCGACTGACTTTGAAGACTCGCCGAAGGACAAGATTACCCTCGCCGGCCTGGTGCGGCACCTGAGCGAGGCACCCATCTCCAACTGCGCTCTCTCCAGCCACCATCGCCTCACAATGCTCCTCATCATCGAGGGTGATCGCTGGCGGGCGCATTCGAAGAAGTGCTTCTACTACACGGGCGGTTGCTGGGACCAAGTGGAAGCATTCGACATTCAGGGCTGGGGCTACATCGCGGCGCTGGAGGGCGCGTTCACGAAGATTGGCGGCGCTGGCGTGGACGACTACAAATGCCCCGAATGGAAATGGCCCGCACTGCAGGGCGTCGTCGGCCAGATGCTTCGCCAGGACGCCGTGACGCTCGCCACGCTCTACAAAGACGCGAAGGAGCACTCGGACGCCCTCAAGAAGGCCACGGACAACAAAGGATGGAAAGGCAACTGGGCGTTGAGGGCGGTGGACACGATGTGCACGTTCAAGGCCGCAATGGACAGGGGGGCGACGCGCACCCCCCTAACCGTGCTCTTCCTAAAGACATGCGACACGCCTAAGCCCAGATCCCAGGGCGTGACGTTCACCGATTGCTACCTGGACTCCAACTGGGATCTAGCCTCCCCACGCCCCGAGAACGACTGCTACATGCGCGCGCCCTACCAGTTATTCTGGTCGGAGGACGAGACTAAAGCAGCGGGGATCGACGTCGCGAAGTGGGACGAGCAGTTGCCGGTGTTCTTGAAGGGCCTGTACTATAAGAACGAGGCCGTGTTCCAACTTGAGCTGGCGTCGTTGAAATTGGCATTCCTGCGGGTGAACTCGGCCAATATGAACTTCAAGATCGGGCACGGAGGAGACGGCAAGCACATGGAAGCCACCTTGCAGCGGAACCTCGTCGGCGAAGCGAACGCCCACTACCTCGACTGCGGCGTCTTTCACGATCGGTCGGAGTGGCGGAAGTCGGGGGGGGGGGGGCAGCGTGTAACAAATCCATTGTTCGCATACAGGAGTGCGACGCCAACGCCCACATGGTGTCCGACATATGGAAGCGCTTCATTGTCGGGGAGGAGCTGTCGTGCCGCGTCAACTACGGGTTCACCGCGCAGAGGACCTTCGGCGAATGCAAAAAGACCAGGAGCTGAATTACGAGAACATTCCAGTCCTGGCGGAGACAGGAACATCGCGAAATAAATTGCGCGAGCAGTTGGAGCGGCGGATCATATGTTCCCGCATGGGGAAGGCGACGTTCGTGCACAATGAGGAGGACGTGTGCCACGAAAAGGCCGCTTCCTGAAGATCCCACAGGACACGTTGGACGAGTTCTTGTCGCACCCGTGGATCGCTGCCAGGTTCCTTCACAAGTACTTGCGCCCCTTCGCCAAGAAGTGCACGGGCCACGATTCGCTTGTGATGCTGGACAACATCAAAGCACTGAGCACGGAGATGTACAAGGATCTTGCCTGGCTGGCTTCCAGGCTCTCCGGCGGCGTCGACCCGCCCCCCGAGGGCGGCCAGCCGACAGGCGCGATCGAGAAAAACTTGATTGTGTCGGCCCACGCGGGCGCGCCCATGCAGGCCGTCGTCAAGGCGCACCTCGTTGAGACCGTAGACTGCAAACCTGGAACGCGGAAGCAAAGGAAGAAGGGCGCCTCAAAGTGGCAGAACCGCACGGCGGCCATCGGGAAGTCGAACGCGCGCCTCTTCACGCAGTGCGACACCAACGCTTTGAGGAGGCACATGGTGAACTATGACAAGATGCTGCTGGCGTGGGAGGCATGCGGCGGCGCGGATGCGTTCGGAGATTGGGAAGACTGGGGCAATCCATCCGACAACATTGACAACGCGTCTACGCTCGTTGCAGGCGGCTCCGTCGAGTGGTACGCAATGGTCCTGGAGCACCTGACGACCCCCGTGACGAGGTTCGGTGGTGTGTCCACCACAAAGACCAGATGCGTTGAGATGCCTTCTTTGGTTGAGTTGCAGGAGCACGCCAAGGGCAAGACGGATCGGCGCCAGGCTGCGCTCGACGCATTCATCGCGCGCTGCCCCCCTCACTAAGACAGCGCCGAGCGGACTTGCATTCTGCCCATGGACTACTACATCCCATGCCCATATGGACGCCCCTTGCGCCGAGGGGTCGGTGGGCAGAAATTCACTCGCGAGGCGCGGGACGTCGCCTTCCCCGACTACATCGAGTGCGATTCTCCGCGCTGCCACCCGCGTTTGTTCAAGAAGGCTCTGCAGGAGCGCGGCCTGTGGAACAAGAAAAGTCCCCCACGTTCCACAAGTGCTGCGCCGAGCACAAGAAGTGGCGGGAGGCCATTGCCCAGAATCTCGAAATATCCATTGACGAGGCCAAGGTGGAGCTGATCAAGCTTTTCTACGGATCTTGCGCGCATGATAAACTTACTTATTCCTCCTCCCTCCTCCTCTCCCTCCTCCCCCTCCTCCTCCCCCCTCTCCCCCCTCTCCCTCCTCCCGTTCCCTCGACTAACGTTCGTCCTCTCCTCTCTCTTCTAACTCTCCTCCCTCTACCCGTCATCTCCCCCCCCTCCCAACCCTCGCCCTCGCCCCCCCCCCCCTCCTCTTCTCCCCCCCCTCCTTCTTCGGTTCTTTGCCGGCCATGCAGCTTCCGTGGATACTGAAGCTCTCAGGCGAGATTGTCGACGGTGCCCACTTGCTGCTCGCTTGCGCGGAGTTCGCCAAGTACAACGTGCTCTACGCCGACCGCCCGAGCCCCGTCTTCAGCAGGATCGCGGCCATCCTCTCGCACATGGAGAACACTGCGTTGATGATTATGCTGGACGCTGCGCGGACGGCAGGAAGCACCAGCGAGGCCCTCCTCTTCGACGGGCTCCTCGCGAAGGCGGTGGACTTCCTAAGAGAAGCGATGGCGGCGGTAGCCGTGGCCGAGGCGAGCGCCGCCGCAGGTGCACAATTCCACATAAAGTTGCGGCAGCGCGTGGACCGGCACGTTCGCTCCGCAAGGGCCGCGCGTTGCGGCTCACAAGCGGCGGTCGTTCGGAGGGCGCGCGGCGAACGCCAGGTGGCCAATTGCATCGTCTCGGCGGCTGATTGGGCACAGCTGTCTCCCAAGACCGCGCTCGACGAGGAGAGCGCAACCATGGCGGTCAAGGAGTTCAACGAATCCGAATTGGACCATTCCCAGCGCGATGCGACAAAGATCCCGCAGCTCACCAAGGAGACTGTGGACGACGTCTTCCGCCGCGACGATCCCGAGGGCACTGTGCACGGCGTCGTTGAGGTTCATCCGGCGCCTGCACCTGCGCATTGCCACGGCGTCGGGATCTTGGAGGGCGGTTGCGCGGGGCTCTGGGACCCGACGGCTCCTTCAGCGGAGATGCACTTGCGCATGGCCGAACAGGGGGCGTTCGCGGAGGGCAGAGATTTGAACTGGTTTTCCTTGAAGACGGCGCACGCGGACGCGGGCTTGCCGACTGACGGGGACGACGCGTACATGGTGCCAACCGCGGGTGCCGACGACTTGTTCCAGCCAGGACCTGGCCTGCAACGCGCGGTGGATGCGGAGGGCCCCTTCGAGACGAATGTGCGGGGGCGCGCCCACTGCAAGTCTCCCTTGCAATGCGAACAGAGAGCGGAGCGCGAGATCTCCAGCACCCTTTACGATCTACACCAGACCGCGGAGATTGCGGTGAGGACATGGCGGTGCACTAACAGAACCTGCAGGCCCACGTACGGCCTGAACTTCATGTGGGCTGATGGCGAGAAGGTGAACACAGCCACGTTGGCCGACTTCGAACAGTCTGGCGTAGTCTTCGTGAGCAACCAGAGAGCGTCTACCATGCGCGACCCGCGCTACCACGAGAAGCTCATGTTCCGCGCCTTCACCACGGCTCGCGGCATCGATTGGGTCACCAAGGAGGTCTTGCTGACAAGGAGGAGGAAGGGCACGGCAAGGAGTTCGTCACCGATTTCAGGAAGATCCACCTCGACGCGCTGATGTACCTGATCGCTGCGCAGGAAATGGAGCCGATCAAAGAGCACCTCGGCATCATCATCGGCAAGGAGATCACCAATGATACCTTCTCCAAGTTGGACAGCTACTACCACGGGAACGTGTTCCCCGATCCGCGCCCGAAGAAGATTACGGTGCTCGTCGGGGACGGGCACGGGAAAGTCCTCACGGAATGCAATGACGAGGAGAGGCAGCAGCGCGCCGTGCGCAGGAGGCCAGCAGCGATGAAGGGATCGATGAAGAGGGCGCGCAAGACCGCCATGAAGAAGCACGTTCTCCGCGCGAAGCCCGCCGCGAAGAAGAAGGCCGTGGTTCTCAAGAGGCCGACCGCCGCGCCAGTGCGCAAGAGGCCATCTGCCACTGCACCCGGCCAGGGGCCGTCCGCCGCAGCCATTCGGAAGAAGAAGCAGTACAAGAGCAGCAGCAAAGCAGCCCGCCACGTGCACCACAACCACGGGTGGTTCATGGCTCTCACCCCTGAAGGGCGCATCGTCGCCGCAGTCGAGCAGAAGAACCCAGAGGGCAACGGCGCGGCGGCAGAAGCCCTGACTCGCGCTCTCAAGAAGCACCCCAACGTGAACACGTTCGCTCACGATCGGTGCTGCTCCTTCTTCGTGTCGGCCCAGAAGCTGCCTGCCTTCAAGGTCATCAAGTACTGGGCCGTCGACATGATGCATGCGAAGGGGCACGCCCGCAGCTGCCCCTGCAACCCATACCACTTTAAGCGCTTGAGCCGCCGCTTGAAGGGCATCAACACCCAGGTGGCGGAGCAATCCTTCTCGTGGTTTAGGGGGCGCGCGCGCCCGCTCAACGAGATGGCCCCGCTGCGGCACAAGCTCTGCGTGCCCTTCTTCGCCAAGCTCCACAACAACTACGTTGAGGAGCACAACATCGAGTACTTGCCGCCGATGGGGGGCCTCAGGACGACGCAAGGCACGGGCGGGCATTACGGCTGCTCATAGGGTTGACATGTAAAGCTTCCGCGATTAGTTTGGAAGACACTACTCTGAGCTTGGGTTGGCCAGTGCACCGATGTATGGGGGGATGCCAGCGCAACGGCTATGCTTGTTTACATGAATTCACCATAGTTGGGATCATGGCTAAGCCCATGCATGCATGACTGGTCAGCTCCTGCGTCCTGTCGGACTAGGGTTGACATATACAGCATTCGGGATAAGTTTTTTCCAGACGCTGCTCCGAGCTTGGGTTGGCCAGTGCAGCGATGCATGAGAGTTGCCAACGCTACCGCTACCCTTGTGCTTGTTTACATAAATTCACCATAGCCGAGATTGTGGTACAATCCGTGCATGCGTGGCTGTTCAGCTGCTACGTCCTGTTGCATAGCTTCGCGCGCGCGGGCGTAGTGCTGACTAATGCATCGCCTGCGGGGGAAGGTCGTGGATTGCGCCATGACCGTGCAAAGTTGCATCAGCAGGGGGTCTGTTGCAGAGCGTACGAGGGGTGCGTTTCGAGTGGCCACGCGGTGAGTCGGGCAAATTTCGCCTTTCTCTCGCGCGTTCAATTGTCGCCTAGCTATTTGCGCGTGCGCGCTTAGACATGTTACCTACAGTTCTTTGCCACAATGACCAATGCGGTTCAGTGGCGGTGCACTTGCGTTCGCCCTTGCCGATGGCGATGGGTTTTATATTCCAGCGCTGATGCGAGTTATGATTGTTCACGCGTCGTTTAAAAATCACATGTTGCCTCCACTCCTCTCTTACTTCTCCCCCTCCCTCTCCTCCTCCCTCACCCTCTCCCCGCTGCCCCTCTGGCCGTCTGCTCCTCACGGCCGCCGCTCGGCTGACATTCGAGGGCGGCGGGCCCGGCCCCACGTGGACCCCGAAGGAGGAGGAGGAGGCGGCGAGAGGCGGCGTAGGGAGAGGCCGGGGTCGGAAGGAGGCAGAGCCTGAGGAGGAGGAGGAGAGAGGATACCCCTTTGCCCCCCCCCTCCCCCCCCCCCCGAAAAAAAGAGAGAGAGAGAGAGAAATAGAGCGCCATGTGAGAGCGCTTGGATGGTTGGGGAAAAACGTGGCTTCTCGAAGCCAAAGGTGAGTTGGCGTAGTGTTGCTCTGCAGAGTAGCCTGATGATACAGGCTCCGCGTCGTGCTAAATACGGTGCGCCGACTCGTGCTCATCGATCTCCGCGTCCTGCTCCGACTCCTGCTCCGGGCCCCAAGAGGCAAAAAAACTGTGCTTTGCTCCAGCGTATTGCGAGGGATAGCTGCGCGGCGCGACAGGGAGCGAGGAGGAGGGAGGGAGATTCTAAGAAGGCCTCAGGCTCCGTGTCGTGCTAGATCTCCACGACCTGCTCCGACTCGTTGTACTCGTTGTCCTCAACTTCCGCGTTGTCAATGCCGCGCTTCACCAGGCAGCCCAGCGCGACCAAGAACAAGATCAAGGCACCAGCGAAGACTGCAATTAATCCCCATGGCTCGGTGGTGGCTGTGGTGCTTGACGTGTCCGAACTCGTGCCCGTATCGGTGGTCATCGTGGCCGTCTTGGTGGTCGTCGCGGTGGTCGTCTCAGTTGTTGTCTCGGTGGTTGTCTTGATGATGGTAGTAGTGCTTGACGTCGCGGAACTCGTGCCCGTATCGGTGGTCGTCGTGGCCGTCTTGGTGGTCGTCGCGGTGGTCGTCTCAGTTGTTGCCTCACCGAACACGTACGCGGAGCCTGAATCTGTGCCCTGGTCGTCGTCACATAGGCCCCCACCACCACGCGGGCCCCGTCGGAGCTCACGGCCACCGAGGAACCGAAGTAGTCGGAGGCGGCCCCATCACTCGCCACAAGCTTCAGCAGCCTCTCGCCGGTGGCCCCGTCGAGCACGTACGCGGAGCCAGAATCGGTGCCCTGGTCGTCGTCAAATTTGCTCCCCACCACCACGCGGGCCCCGTCGGAGCTCACGGCCACCGAGTAACCGAAATTGTCGTATGCGGCCGCATCACTCGCCACAAGCTTGAGCAGCCTCTCGCCGGTGGTACCGTCGAGCACGTACGCGGAGCCTGAATAACCATGAACCCACGAGAATACACCCCCAGAGATAATAAAGTTCGGGGTTTTCGGGGAGATAATAAAAGTTGCCCGCCAGAGCCAGCATAAAGAGATGTCAAGAGGAGAAAGCCAAAGATATCTTGAGCATCCTTGGTCTTTGGTCCTGTATGATACATCCTCAACAATGATTTGTCTCGTTTGAGACATCCTCAACAATGGTTTGTCTCAGTTCAGGGCGCCAGGGGGCGAGAAGAAGGATACATAAAAAGAGATATAGAGAGAAAGAAAAGAAGAGCAGGAGGAGGAGGCGGAGGAGAGAGGAGAGGAGAAGAAGGAAGCGAAAATCCAAAGTTCAAAACTTATTAGATTAATGTTGTAAACGCTTGATGAGCATTAAAACTTTCGTCTGCTCGTGTAGGGGAGCTCATGTGCTTAGTCTTTCCGGGGTAATCAACCCCAGCGATAAGCAAGTTCAGGGCGCCAGGGGGAGGAGGAGAAGAGAGAGAGAGAGAGAGAGAGAGAAAGAGAGAGAGACAGAGAGAGAGAGAGTAAAACATAGAGAGAGAGAGAGAAAAAGAGAGAGAGAGAGAACAGAAACAGAAACTAAGAGAGAGAGAGAGAGTTCAAAACTTCATTCTTATGTTGTTATCTGAACATAAGAAGGAAGTAACCTCGATGGCGAACTTTCCCCGTGATAATGAAGTTCGGCCTCCGCGCCCTCCGCCTCTACTTGAAAACCGTCGAGGCCGAGGATGCAAAAAACTCAAACTACTTAGGGGGGGTACTTTATTATCGTGGGTTCGGGGTTAGGTGCCCTTGTCGCCGTCTGGGTAGGCCCCCACCACCACGCGGCCCCGTCGGAGCTCACGGCCACCGAGTAACCAAAAAAGTGTATGCGGCATCACTCGCCACAAGCTTGAGCACCTCTCGCCGGTGGTACCGTCGAGCACGTACGCGGAGCCTGAATCGGTGCCCTGGTCGTCCACCAAGGCCACCACCACCACGCGGGCCCCGTCGGAGCTCACGGCCACCGAGAACCACTTGTCGCGGCCCCATCACTCGCCACAAGCTTGAGCAGCCTCTCGCCGGTGGTACCGTCGAGCACGTGCACGGAGCCCTGGTAGTCGTCGTCACCTTTGGCCCCCACCACCACGCGGGCCCCGTCGGAGCTCACGGCCACCGAGAAACCGAAATTGTCGCCTGCGGCCCCATCACTCGCCACAAGCTTGAGCAGCCTCTCGCCGGTGGTACCGTCGAGCACGTGCACGGAGCCCTGGTAGTCGTCGTCACCTTTGGCCCCCACCACCACGCGGGCCCCGTCGGAGCTCACGGCCACCGAGAAACCGAAATTGTCGCCTGCGGCCCCATCACTCGCCACAAGCTTGAGCAGCCTCTCGCCGGTGGTACCGTCGAGCACGTGCACGGAGCCCTGGTAGTCGTCGTCACCAGTGGCCCCTACCACCACGCGGGCCCCGTCGGAGCTCACGGCCACCGAAAAACCGAACTGGCTTTCGTTGACCCCATCACCCGCCAAGAGCTTGAGCAACTGCGCGCCGCTGGTAGCCTGGCGCCTGCCGAACTCGGCCTGCGGCTCGCGAGGGCGACCGCTCGCCGAACCCTCCAGCCTCGGGCGGGCCAGCGTCCCGCTCGCCGGCGACCCGGCGCTCGGGGCGCCGCGCGCTACCAGCAGCAGGAGCAGCGCGCCGACGCTGTGGGACGTGCGACGGCGCATCATGCCGTCTGCAGATGTGCAGCGAGAGACGCCCGAAGGGAGCCCTGGGAGGCCGGCGACGGCCCCTCGGAACCTTGAGCCAAAATTGTTACGGACCTTCCGTTTTTGGTTTTGGTTTTTTTCCACAAGAACTCCCCCTGGCGCTTCGGCCCGTCCCGCCGGCCACCCGAAAGGGAGCTCCAGGAGCTCAATCCCAGAAGAATCCCCCAAGACGGCTCAAGATGGCCTCCAAAAAGGCCTCCAAGTCCGCCCAATATGGTCCAAGATGGCCTCCAAGACGGCCCGAGAATCCAAGATGCCTCCAGTTCGTCCAAGAAGCCTCCAAGACGCCAAGATCGCCCAGGAGCCCTTCAAGATGTTCCCATGACAGCTCAAGAGGCCCCCAAGAGGGCCCAAGAAGGCCCCGACGGTCCAAGAGGCCTCCAAGACGCCTAGGCTGCCTCGAAGACGACGCCTACTATCGGAAATCGCCCAAGGCTGCCCTCTCTCCCCAGTCTTATTTGTCATGCTGATGACAGTGGTCATGAAAAACGCCACCAGCAGATCGGAACAGCATACCAAAGACGCACTTTCGGCGGGAGAGCTGTCCGTATTGATATATGCAGACGACACGCTATTGGTGGGCCGGTGCCAACACAGACTGCAACAACTGCTGGGAGAAATCGCGGCTGCAGGCGCCAGGGTTGGCATGGAGCTGCACTGGGTCGAGTTCCAGCTGATGCAAAATAACTGCGACATACACTTACGAACCCAGGATGGAAAAGACATCGTTCCCAAATGTGACATGGTTTACTTGGGCGCCACTCTGAATAGCAACGGGCAAATGGCATCGGAACTAAAAACAAAAAGCTTGGGGCGGCTTGGAGGGAATTTTGCAGATATTCTCGCGCATGGAAGCACACGTCAATTACTAAAAACACGAAGTTGCAGCTCTTTCAGGCTCTGATAACCACCAAGACCATGTTGTCCTTCAACTCTGCTTGGCTAGACAAATCTGAAAGACGGAGAATGGATGCGTTACAAGCCCGGTGCCTCAGGAGGATCATGAACATACCTGATTCATATGTGTCGCATGTGTCAAACCAGACGGTTTTTTGGGGGAAACAAAAAACACATCAAATACCTTACAGCTCGCAGCTGCTACGGCATCAACTTCTTGTATTTGGTAAAATTAAGAGAACTTGCGACGAGGACGTATTGGGAAAAATCACAGTTGTGCCTGGCTCGGTCCAATCAACTACTACCACATTGTTCAGGAAACCCGGGAGACCCAGGAACGAATGGGCGAAGTGCTTGTATGATCGAAATGTGACTGGTTTCAGCACGCAAGGGGAATTATTGGAGTGCTGCGCGACGCTACAAAATGAATAGATTTCTCGTTGGAAATTAAAAGCCAGTGAAAATTTGCGTGAGCAGCCCTGTTTAAGTGAGCCCCCCTGCCCGCTCTTCCCCGCCTCTCCTCTTTTCCACCCGCTCATGATGCAGTCGAACAATCGGTGGGCGCGCCGCTGCTCCCGCAAAGCGGAGAGTACAGGCTGGCATCGTCTCTTTTCGCCCACGCGTTCCGGCGTATGGCTTGACTAACTGACTGACCTCTGTCTCTCCCATCCTTCAAAAAGCACGCCTTGAAACTCCAGTGTCCACTCTGGACCTCAACTTGCTGCTGCGTCTGAAGCAGGAGCTGGTGAATTAGGTGCTCTGGCACTCTTCTTCTGGGCTGCTCTGCTCTTTGCCTCCTCGAGCCGATGTCTTTCGGAATCAGCTCCGTACAGAGCTGGAGCCTGTTGGACCGAGACAAACATGGCCGGCCGCCAGCAGGGAATCCAAGACCTTGGACGTCCTGTTGTCGACCTCGGCAACCTCCTTCCGATCGGCAAACAGGATCTGGGCCGTCTTGGCCCCCTCCTCGGCGGCTTTGTCCGCTAGCCTGCTGACCTGTCGGTGGGAGATGCCACATCCTCGGGCCAGCGCATCTGCTAGCTCACGGTGCGAGCGGGTGTGGCGGACTCGAACAAGACCCGTCTCCTACCGCCGCCCAAAAAATAACGCCAAAGGCCTACCATCCTCGAGCGCCTCAGCAGGCAGGCTACGCACGGATGCCATTGACCACTTCTCCATTGTCTATGGCACAGTCTATGGTAGCAAGTGATATTCCCAGGGGCGCGGCTCCTAAAAATGGGCCCGGAAACGCGCCCAAAACAGAACGGTTTGGGATTTTCTCAAATGAGACAAAAAAAACTCAACCACTCCCGGAACGGAACCAGAAAAATTACATACGGCACCCCCTTTTGCCAAAATACGTGTAGAAATCTTCAAAAAAAGAACGGTTTCGTTGGTTTGGCCAGAGACATCCCGCGAAAAATGGCCCACGGCACCGCCGCCCCAAAATGGTGCATTTTGGCGTCGCATTTTGTAGCCGCGCCCCCAAGAATATAGTTCCTGACATGGGACCTGTGGTCAGTTGCACCGCTCTGGTCACGGCTGCCAGCTAAGCTGCTGGGCGACGACGCGAGCAGCATTTAGGTGGCTGGCGACCTGACCCACAGCGCACTCGGGGGGGGGGGGGCGTTACGTTATAGGGGGTGGAAGGGGGGGGGCGGGGGCTATGATGCCCATTATGCCCCAAGCGATAAAAAAACACGTTCCACCCCTCCAATGTCGATGACACAGCCTGTGGGGCCTGTGGTCAGTTGCACCGCTCTGGCCATGGCTGCCAGCTCGGCTGCTGGGGCAGCCTGCCCGTGCGCGGCCGGGTGGTCCGAGCCCCCAGCAGTCATATGCTGTCCTGCCCTCCTCCCTCTCGCCCGCCTCCGCCTGGGGACACAGAACAGGCACCGAGATACCGCTGCTCGCACCGGACCTCACCCGAGGTGCACTCTGACCAAACGTTTGAGGCGAACCCACGGGTGGCGGAGAGGGCCGCCCGGGAGGGCCCAGAAAGGCGAAAGGCGAGACAGGGCTGGCGGTATCGCTGCCTGCTCCTGCTCCGCCTCTTCTTCTGTCCAGTCCTAGTCTTCGAAGGGAACCGATGAGCGCGCCCGCCTCCGCCTCCACGTTCCGCTCCCGCATGGAGACCGTGATCGGCGTCTCCACCGGCACGCACACCTCCGAGTACCTCTCTCTCTCTCTCTCTCTCTCTCAGGGAGGGCCGACGAGGACAGGGGGGGGAGGGAGACGAGGGGAAGAAGAAGAAGAAAGAGAAGAAGAAGAACAATAAGAAGAAGAAGAAGACGAATAACAAGAAAAAGGCGAAGAGGAAGAAGAAGAAGAAGAAGAAGAAGAAGAAGACAGGGCCTTGCGTGTGGCCTCTTGCTGTGCCTGTTTGCGCTCGCTGCATCTGGAAAACCCTTCAAAAACCTCGAACGATCGTCGACGAGGGTCGGCGAGGTCGGCAGTTGCACGCACCGTGCAGCAGGAATCAGGCTTCGTGCCGATACAGAAGAAACAGTGGAAAAACTTTCAAAAATTGAGAACAAAAAAAGAAACACCAAAAAACGCGGGCTGGGGGTGCTGCCCACTGGCCCCGTCGAGGCCGAGCCCCGCGTCGTCGCAACGAGCGACGGACGGGCCTCCGAGGCCCCCCCCCCAAACGGATTACGAGGGCCGCCGTGGGCCCCCATCGGGCCCGCGGACCCTGCGGGCCGGGCCGTGGGGGCGGACTTACGTCAGGTTCGTGTCGTGCCGACTTCGGCGTTGGTCTCTGACACCGAGGGGATCGTTCAGCCTTGAACGATCGGCCGTTTCCGAAACGTCCAAATCGTTCCACATCGAACGAGTCTGGGTCGCCCGCGGCGTTCAACGTTGAACGCCCCTGGCGGGATCGCCGCCGGTCGACACGACACGAACCGACCGTACCCGCTGCCGAGCACCGACCGACAGGCCCACATGGCGTCCTTCGAAGCGTACCCCGCCGTGAGCAAGGGCAGACCCCCACCTCTGGCCCGCCCGCAGGGGGGGTCGCCCCCCAAAAAACAAGGGTCTCGACTGCACCAAAGAGGAGGAGGAGGAGGAGGAGGAGGAGTCGGCTCCTCCTCCTCCTCCTCCTCCTCCTCCTCCTCCGACTCCTCCGACTCGCCCCTCCACATCCTCCCCCGATCGGGATGACGATGCGGACGATGCCGCATCTGCTGTGCCCGCGGAGGTATGGACTGCCACCGCGCGCAGAGCTCCCTCCCTCGCGACCGTGCCGTGGGCTGTGGCGCGGCACTCCATCGCCTACGGACTCGGGGAGGCGCACCTCGGCGACGTCAGCCACAGCAACGAGCGCGGAGTCTCCCACGCCGAGGAGGCCATCCTGCGGCACCACGGACAGGCCGGGCCCCGCCCGTCCAGGAGCACAGGCGCCCGGCTGCGGGCGACCGGATCCTCAGCAGCAGGCCTCCCTCCGTGGCGAGCCGCTGCAGGACGTCGCTGCAGCTCGGTGGGCCCAGGTCATTATCATTATTGTTATTTCTTATATTAATACTATTAATAACAATAATGATAGTTCCATTAAAAAGAACAAATGATAGAGTGGCCAGCTCTGCCACGCGGATGGTCAAGCCCCGTCGTCGCAGGCACCCCGACGACCAGTGTCGCCGCAGCCTGGCGAGGACAGGGCGGGAGCTCCATGGGCGCATTCCCGGCAAGGCCCGCCGCCCCGTACGCGGCCGACGGGGCCCCCTTTCCGCAGCAGCGGCGGCAGTTACGGACGGCGCTGAGGGACGTGCATTCCCTGTCGGATGCGCTGTTGAGCGAGCTCGAGGCCACGGCAGAAGCGGCCGACGCGCCCGTCAGCGCGCAGTGGCGGCGTCATTGGCGGAGTTCCGCGAGTGGATGTGCACGTCCGCTTCGGAGTCGACGATCTTCCGCTCGCTGAAGCGGGTGCCGCCGCCAGTGGCGGAACTGCTCACCAACGGCCAGATGGTGATCCAACCCGAGGACCTGCTCGACGCCAAGGCACGCAAGTGGATGGACCTTTGGACGCCCGCGGCGGCGGACGTCGGCGATGCCGAGAAGCTGTTCGACGAGCTTCGCGAGCAGCTGGACCTGACTGAGCTCGCCCCGCTCACCGCGGTGAGAGGCATGCCTATACGGTCAAAGTTTGCACGGTCGACGTCTCTACTGCCGCCAGCCAAAGTTTTGCGACGGTGCCACTCAAAGAGGCCCTGGACGCGCAATACTGGAACTGGTGATCTTCATTTTGGCGACGGCGCCTTTGGTGAACCACTAAGTGCCCCTGGCGCGCTATCGAGATTTGGCAAGGGCTGGCGTAACAATCGCTCGACAGCGAAGACCTACTTGTCGCATTATTCAATTTGGCGGTGGCGGTGGCAACAACCACCCCACAAAACAAACCGAGCGACATGTGAGAACACAGGACTGTTCGCCCACCCCCTCCTCTGGGGAAACCACAGCGAACTTCTACACCGCCACTCCCCTGACCCCCCTCCGGGGACCCGTCCCGACCAGGACCTCGGGGCGAGCCCGGCGGTGGTGACGGGTGGCTCTCTCAGGAGTCCCCCTGAACTAAAGGGAAATTAGGACACACAAATAAATACACACAAATAAAAATAGTCCCCATATTTTCCCATATTTTCTGGGTTTTTGTCTTCCCCCCCAATTCCCGTATTTTCCTATATTTTCCTGGGAATCGAGGATTAATTGTGTCTGTGTGTTTTTTTCCCTCCTGATGAACGGCGGACAGGAGGCCGGCGTTACCTTCCCCTGCCCCGACCTTCGGCTGCTGTCCGACGTGCGGACCGCGGGCGCGGGCGCCCTTCGCCGACGCCCCCCGTGGTGCCCGCGCCCTTTTTTGGGCCCCCGCGGCGGCGGCAGCGGGGGCACGAGGGCCGACCAGCAGCACCTCTGTTTCTGCCCCGACCGTCCTTGCAGCGGTCCTGCACCGAGGTCGGGCATGGCCTCCCGCGGGCGGACGCTCGAAGAGCCATGAGAGCACCCACGTCATATTCACAGTCGAAGAGATCGTCCCCGCATTGTGTCTTGAGCTTCTGTCGAACGCTCCTCCTGTATGTCAGAGGGACACGCCCGACTCGGTCCTGCACGTGGGGGGCAGATGGGGGAACCAAAAGGTACCGATACCGCTACTCCCCAGACCTCTCCTGGGGCGCGTTCTGACCAGGATGTCGAGGCGAATCCAGCGGTGGCGACGAAGGCATCCCACGAGGCCCAAAAAGGAGAAAACGAGAGAAGGGTAGCGGTATGGGTACCTTTTCCTCCTCCGAACAGAGGGCCCGCCGCGGCGGCGACGCGGCACATGTCGAAGAGCTCCAGCAGCCGCCCGTCGCCCGGCTGCGGCAGCACCGCGGCGTTGGTGGCCTCGCGGCCGGCGCCGGGGGGCGGAGAGCGGCGACGGCGACGTCGCGGACGACGGCGGCAGCGAAGGCGAGGACGGAGACGAGGACGGACGACGGCGGACAACGACGACGACGACGACGACAAAGACGACGAAGAAGACGACGAAGACGGCAGACGACGACGACGAAGACAAAGACGACGAAGAAGACGACGAAGACGGCGACGGCGACGAGGACGACGACAACGACGATCACGACGCGGAGGACAACGACGACGAGGGCGGCTGCAGTGTAGAGCAGCAGCTGAACAAAACAGTTACAGCAGATCAGTTGCAGTGCAGACCGCAGCTTGCGCATGCAGTTCAACGAGTGAGCCGGTACCAGCACCCTCGGGGCCTGGGGAACCCTGGGACGCATCCTAGCCGAGGGGGGCCTTGTGAAACCTCGGCCTGGGATCTCCGGCTGCCGCCCTTGATGCTGATACCTCCTCCTTCCCCTGGCGCGAGGGGCCCCACCCCACGACGAGGCTGCCGCTGTCTGGGGAGAGCCCTGGCACTGCGCAGCCTTCCCTGAAGAAGAGCGGCGTTGGCAGCCACTGTACTGTGGATGCGTGACCGATGTGGTGCAAGCCGAGTGGCGAAAACTGTGTGGTGACAGATGCGTGAGAAAAGCGAGAGGCGGCAACGAAACGGCAACGTGCGGCAACGCGGCGAACCCACGCTGGACCCACCCACGAGGCGGCAACGAGGCGGCCACGACGCGGCAACGGGCGGCACATGGCGAATCCTTGGCAGACACACCCAGCGCACGAGGCGGCAGCGAGGCGGCCACGGGCGGACGTGGCGAAACCTCGCCGGACCCACCCAGCGCACGAGGCGGCAACGAGGCGGCAACGAGCCGAAACCTCGCTAGACCCACCCAGCGCACGAAGCGGCAACGAGGCGGCACCGGGTGGCAACGGGCAGCAACGTGGCGAAGCCTCGCCGGACCCGCCCAGCGTGCGAGGCGGCAACGAGATCCGACGCCACAGAAACATCGCAGCATCGCAAAAAAAAAAACACGACCGGAACCATTCGACCCTAGGCCCCTGGACCCCATCTTTCTGCTGCATGTTTCGAGCCGCACCCGTCCGTGAGGGTCCCAGGGCCCGAGGCGAGGCCACAGCGCCCGCTGTGAAAAGATCGACGCCCAGATCGCAGGATCGATTGGCCAAAGCCCCTCAGGCTTTCGGATCCTACGGCGGCCGTTCGGGGCGATCCGGGCAAGCCCTGTGATGCGCTCGGCGAGGCGCGGCTGCTGGAAACCATCCCCCGAGGACGGAGAACCGCCGAGACCCAACGAGAACACCCAAAAGCATCGAGCCTCGGACTTCGAACCTGGGGCATCCTCCTCCTCCTCCTCCTCCTCCTCCTCCTCCTCCTCCTCCTCCTCCTCCTCCTCCTCCTCCTCCTCCTCCTCCTATTCTTCCTCCTCCTCCTCCTGCTCCACCTCCTCCTTCCTTCCTCCTCACCCTCCAACTGCTCCTCCAACTTCTCCTCCTCCTCCTCCTCCTCCTCCTCCTCCTCCTCCTCCTCACACTGTTCCTCCACCTCATCCTCCTCCTCCCTCCACCTACTCCTCCTCCTCCTCCTCCTCCTCCTCCTCCTCCTCTTCTCCTCCTCCTCCTCCTCCTCCTCCTCCTCCTCCTCCTCCTCCTCCTCCTCCTCCTCCTCCTCCTCCTCGATCCCCCAAAATGAGGCGCCGCGGCGCGGCCCCGCGCGCCAGACGGCGCCTGCGTAAAACGCATGGCGCCCCGGGCCCGCTGCAGGTCGCCGAGCTTCTTCAGGCACAGCCGCACCTGGCTGGGTCTCGCCGCGCGCGCACGATGATCGAGGATAGATCGAGGATCGATCGAGGATCGGGGATCGGAGGATGGGGGATCGAGGTTCGAGGATCGAGGATCGAGGTTCAAGGATCGAGGTTCGAGGATCGAGGTTCGATCGAGGATCGAAGATCGAGGATCGAGGTTCGAAGATCGAGAATCGATCGAGAATCGAGGACCGAAGATCGAGGCGGGGGACGCTCGGGGCGCCGGGGCCGCCTGCCCGTCAGATTTGACTACCGCGCGCGCGTGCAGTGTCGACCTGGGCGTTGGCTCCTGACATCGTGGGGAACTTTACTCTCACGCCCATCCCTCCCCCCCATCCCTTCCCCCCCACCCTCCCTTCCCTTCCCTCCCTCCCTCCCTACCTACCTCCCTTCTATCCCTCCCTTCCTCCCTTCCCTACATCCTGTCCCAACCTTGAACGATCGGCCGTTTCCGAAACGTCGGATCGTTCAACATCGACCGTTTCTGGGCCGACGTCGACGTTCAACGTTGAACGCCAGCGGCGGGGTCGCCGCTGGTCGACACGACGCGAACCTGCCGTACCTACCACACCACCCCAACCCAACCCGAAGTCTCAGATTTCGGGTGGGGGGGCGCACGGGTAGCATATGTGGCCCTTCGATGTTCCAGGATCTGGCGGCGCGCACAAGGGTGTAGGGGGAAGAGGGGAACGGCTTCTCAGAAGGAGGCTGCTTCTTAGAAGGCGCTGGCACTACATCTACAGACAAGGCCCGCGCCTTCTACGAAGCAGGGGTGCTTCTAAGCAGCCTTCCCCCCCTCCCCCTAATTACCCTCCACTTGTCCTCGGGGGCGCGCAAACATGGATTAGCGACTTGGCGCGCGGTCGCCAAATCCATGGATCAGGGGGAGGTGCCCTCCCCAAAATGCGGCTGGTGCCGCCGCTGATCCCCCAGGGAAACGGGACCCGTCGCTGATCCACGCCCCCCTGAATCCATGCTTGCGACCGCCTGGTTTTCCGTGGCCGAGAACGGAGGGCAGCTTGGGGCCTTCGAGTTGGGCTGGGGTGGCTCGGTGGGCAGCAGTGAAGGTCGGGGCAGCTCCCTCCCCCTCCTCCTCCTCCTCCTCCTCCTCCTCCTCCTCCCCCTCCTCCTCCTTCACCTCCTCCTCCTTCTCCTCCTCCTCCTCACTCCCTCACTCCTCACTCCTCACTCCTCACTCCTCACTCCTCACTCCTCACTCCTCACTCCTCTCTCCTCCTCCTCCTCCTCCCCTCCTCCTCCTCCTCCTCCTCCTCCTCCTCCTCCCCTCCTCCTCCTCCTCCCTCCTCCTCCTCCTCCTCCTCCTCCTCCTCCTCCTCCTCCTCCTCCTCCTCCTCCTCCTCCGAAGTCATGGCGCCGCAGTTCCCTCTCTCACGCCGGACGGCGTGTTGCCTCGCTCTGCGGGCCCGGGGGCCAGCACGGATCTCGATCCAGCTCGAAAGCACGCCACAGAAAGATATGGGGTCCAGGGCTCGAGTCGTGATTTCGCGTGCGATGCTGCAACCTTTTTTCGCAACAACGGCTCAAAACGAAGAGCGAGGGGAGGCGTTTCCCACTTTTCGGCCTCCAGGAGCCGTCACTGGGCCTCGCCTCGTCCAGGCGACGGGTCCAGACCTCTGGGGGCCCACGTTCTGAATAACATAAAAGAACAAGAAACAAAAGACAAGCAAAAACAAATATAAAAAAACAACAAAAAATAAAATAATAATAATAATAATAATAAACCAAAAAAAAAACAAACAAAAAAAAACGAGGGCGGGGGTCTGGGAATCGAGATCTGTGGTATTCGGAAGCCTGCCAACATGGATCGGGAATGCGTGGATCTGGCGCGTGGGCGCCAGATCCACGGATCGGGTAAGGGTACCCCCAGGAGCATGGCGCCAAAGCCGCCCGCGGTGGCGACGGAGAGCGCGCCCAGGTGCGGCGCGGGAACGGAGCCCGTCGGCACTCCATATGCGAGTCTTGGTCCATGCCTGCGCTGCCTCGACAAGCCCGCCTCCTTCTGATCCCCCCCCCCTCCTCTGACCGTGTTCCTCCGTCTGGGAGAGGGGGGGAGGGGAAGGGCCGAGGCGGACCTGAGCACCCAGACCCAGACCCCCCCGAAGTCTTGCCTGTTTTTTTTTTTGTTCCTCGCGTGGGCCCAGAGAGGTCCGGGCCCAATGGGAGTGCGCTTCATCCCGAGTCGTTACTTGACGGTCTCGACGCCGAGTGAGGGCCCGCAGAAGCCGAGCAGAAAAAAATCGACCCCGGCAGAGCACCCCAGCAGCAACACAACGCACAGGCGGGGCCGACGAGGAGGAGGTCGGCGAGTGAGAGCGCGCGTCCCCACGCATTCCTACGGACCTGATCCCCACGCGTGCCAAGTGTGAGAGCACGGCCTTGTGCGCCGTAGTGTGTTCTGTACCAGGGAGCGTGGCCGTGTGGCAGGGGTGGAGGCACGCCCATGTGCACCGCAGCGTATTTGCTCACTCCGCATCGCGGCCGTGTGGCAATCGGGCCGGGCGAAAGGGGGGGATATAGCAAAGGGGGGGTTTGAGAATCAGCTCGCGTAGCTGCTTTTCCCGGCGCCTCCCGGCGCTGGAGGCGGCTAGGTATATCGAGGAATGGGCCCCTCGGTGAGGCCGAAACCAGCTGCATGCAGCAAATTCCCAACCCCCCCTTTCCCAATCCCCCCCTTTCGTCCGGCCCGAGACAAGGGGTGAGAGCACGGCCTTGTGCACCGGCATTGTCATTTCTACCAGGGCTCGTGGCCGTGCGACGGGGGTGGCAGCACGGCAACGTGCACCGTGGAAGACCTGCTGCGGGGGATCGTGGCCGCGAAACAGGGGTGGGAGCACGGCGATGTGCACCGTGGTGCTTATTTCACCGTGGGTATCGCGGCCGCGTGAGGAGAACACAGCCGTGAGCACCGTAGAATATATACACACCTGGGGCTGTGGCTGTCTGACAGGGGTGCCAGAGCACGGCCATGTGCACCGCTGTGGCATTTGCCAAGGATCGCGGCCGCGTGTAGGGGAGCGGTGTGTGGGTACAAGACCGCCGGGGAGGAAGCTCTGCAACATCCAAAAAAATAGAACAGAACGTTCGGTAACGCTCATTCGAAACATCATAATATAGTATGAAAGCGCATCCAAAATATAACGTTCGATAACCATGGTAGCGGTTTGAAGCTTCAGCCAGTGGGCAAGTAAACGCGCGCGGTAGGATCTTCCGTGAAGCACCAGTGAAGGAAATATGGGCCGAGACCAAGGAGCCGAGGGCGAGGGAAGGCGAAAGGATGTGGGGGGCACAGGAATGCAAAATCAACTGCACTCGCCGCCAACGTTCACACGAGAGGAAAAAAACGTCCCTGAGAGAACATACCCGGACATTCGCTTTCTCAAAGAACCACTTGTGAGGTACAGTGAGGTTTGAGAGAGAGAGAGAGAAGAGAGTCGGGCGTTTGCAGAACTGGGTTTAGTGGGGCCTGGTTTAATGATGTCTACTGGGGAACGCCCCCCCCGCCCCGCTCCATTAGCTGGAACTGCCGTCATCCGGAAAAACACCAGCTACGGCAGACCTCTGGCTAATTTAAGGGCTCCGGGGCCCTACCACTAACTGGGTCCCCTTACCTGGGTCCTAGCTATACCCGACAGAGATCACTCGCGCAACCTCCTATGGCCTCCCCGCCAGCGTTGGGGGGCCCGACCCCTCAGAACACCACAACATATCTTGAGGCCCTGATGTTGGTGGATGCCACCATGGGGTCAGCGATCACCCGCCAACCCGCCGGATCCTCTATGTACAACGTGAACTGAGAATGCTCTTCGTCCTCCTCCTTCTGCGTCCTCTTCCCCGTTATATTTCTCCCCCCTCCTGCACCGCATCTTATTGCTTTCAAGTCGCGCATAATCTAAGTATACCCATGAATCGGTTTCCGCGGGTGTGACAAAGGCGGCCGCACGGCCATATGCACCATTGTGTGTCCATAACAAAGATCATGACCATCCAGACCAAACATGTGTACGAACATTCGGGCGAAACGGCGGCCAGCACCGGCATTCTCGGGTTCCCCACCGCCCCACCCCTGCGGGACTCTCCCACGGTCCTTTCCCTGCCGCTACCTAGTGGAAACCTCGAGCGAAACGCTGCTAGGGAAAGGAGCCCGCCGTCGTGATTCTCTCCCGACGCACTTTTTCGCAGACGGTGAGGCAAAGGCAGTCCGCCCCCGCGCGCGGCAATTCGGGGCACCCCGCAAGGCGAACTGTCCGGCGTGCAAGAGACAGGAACGAAGACGAGGGCGGCCGCGCGAAGGGGAGGAGGGAACGACGCACACGGGGGTCTCGGGACGACGGCGACGGCGACGGCGGCCCCCGGCGCCCAACGGCGGCCCGACGGCGGCGACGGCGACGGCGACGTCGGCCCACTGCGGCCCGCGGCAGCGGCCGCGGCGCAAAGGCGCGGGGGGCTGGGCACCGTCAGGCCGCTGAGCCGCGCGCGCGGGTCCTCGCGGCGCGCGCCGCACAAGCCACAGGGGGGGAGGGGGCACTCGCCGCAGGCGGGAGGCCGCCCGCGCGCCCCCCCCCACCCCCGGGGGCAGGAGGGAAGTCAGAGGAGCGCCTCCTCCGTCCCTCATCCTTCTCCCCCTCCTCCTCCCCCTCCTCCTCCTCCGCTGCCCCCATCCTCATCCCCCTCCTCCCCCTCCCTCCTCCTCCTCCTCCTCCTCCCCCTCCTACCTCCTCCTCCTCGTCCTCGTCCTCCTCCTCCTCCTCCTCCTCCTCCTCCTCCTCCTCCTCCTCCTCCTCGGGGGTGCGGATCGGTCCGTGGATGGGGGCCGGGGCCCTGGTGGAGGCTGGCCAGGCTCTGAGCATCGGGGCTCGCAGCGCTCGGACGGCACCAGGAAGCGGCAAGGCGCAGGGAACAGAGCCGGTCTGGGCGCGGCGGCCTGCACACGGGACCCGGACGGGGCGCCGCAGCCACTCCTGGAGGTCCTCTTCCTCCTCCTCCTCCTCCTCCTCCTCCTCCTCCTCCTCCTCCTCCTCATGCTCGCGTCCGCGCTCTCTCGGCACCCATGCCTCCTTCGGATGCGCTGCCACCAGGGGCCGGCGTGTGACAAAGATGTCCACGACCTGCATGGAGAATCAAACTTGGGGCGGCCTCCTTTCAAGGCCGCCCCTGCTGTCACGTACATCCTCCTGGGGGATTGAAGTGCGCGTAGCACCGCCCTGGCGCGCGGAGCGCGCCAGGGGCAGAGCGGGAGGCACCGCCAGGGGTGCCCGGCGCCGATGCAAGACATCCGCGCGGAACGCCGAAACGTTTATGCGTGAGCAATTCCATCGAAAGAATCGGGGAGACGTAAGACTCGGGTACGGGGGACTCGGGTTGGGTTGACGTGGCCATCATACAAATGACGAGACCCGATCTGAAAATTGCCGCGGGCTCCTGCTGCGGACATCCCACGAAAACGGGACCGTCAAAATCCAGGACGCGCTCGTCAAAAAACAGTCGGCAAACCCGAGATCCGGCTTACTCGAGTTTTACGCTTCCCCGAAAGAAGCAAGGACCACGAGAGAGCGCAACCATCCGACAATCGACCCGGCGTCGGAAAGAAGCGCGGGAAAATCAGATCGAGATATGCGTGTGGATTGCTCTACGAATGCACGCCGATTTGCCCATGTACACACGCCTTTGAAGAGCGCACGCCTGTGTCGATAAGGGTCATAATGAAATCAAAGGGAACTCCTGGAAGACGTCGCGTGAACCGTGTAGCCAGACTGAGAAGCCAATAGGCCACATTCACTTCGAATGAACCTAATAGTAAGGAAAAATTGGCCCAGGTTTGTCCAGGGTAGGGCGTTTTGTTCGACGGCGGATCTACCAGCGCCGATGCTGAATGTAACCTCCCAGGTGCTGCAACCGAGGTGAGAGGGGGGCCCGAATACCTAGGACACCTGACTTCGCGAATCGCACTGCGTCAAGTGTGAGGCGTGATTGCCTCCGCGCTCTCGCCCAGCCCCCGCGCGCGAAGCGCAATCATCGTCGCGACCATGCGGGCGACCGATGTGCATGAATGACGATGACCACCACCACGACGAACCCCGACAACCAGAGCGACACGACGAACGACGACGACGAGGACAACAACGGAGACGACGACGATCGAAGGACGACGAAGGGCGAACGAATGGCGAACGACGAACGAACGACGAGGGACGACCGACGGACGAAAACGAAGAGGGAGAACGACGAGCGAACGGCGAACAACGACGAACGACGACGACGAACAACCACGACGGTATTGGCGGCGGTGGCAGCGGCGGTGACGACGGCGGTCCTCTTGCTGGAACGCCCAAAACCGTCCCTGCTCGCCCTCGGGCTCGGAGCGGAAGCCTGGTGGAGGCTCTGCTTTTGCGCGGGCGTGCCTTGTTCGAGGCCTCGCCGCCGCCGCCGTCGTCGTCCTGCCTTCTCTCTCGAAGTAACTCCTGAGATGCGCTCGTAAAATATATTTGTTTTGTTTCGACTCGAATTCGGGGGCCATGAAACCCAAGATTAAAACAGATCGCGCCGGGCTAAGCGGGACTAGCTGGAATCAAACGGACTCGGGCGGTCAAATTTGGCCGGTTTTCGGCCGCGGATATAGAATCGCCGATGCTGGCCTGACCCTCCGAAGAATTGCATTTTAAGTGCTCCTCCTCATCCTCCTCCTTCTCTTCCTCGCCCTGCTTCCTCGCCCTGCTCTGGCCAATTCCACCACAGCCTTTTTGTTTCCGGAGCGGCGACAGGCAGACCCCTTCAGGGTGCGTCGCTCGCCGCCGGGTGGCGGCTCGTATCCCTTGGGCCACACAGCGGCGGATGGCCAGGCATTCCCCCGTTATCACACCACCACCACCCTTCCACTCCCGACACCTGCGCAAGTCGCACATGCAACAACATCTACGCTAAATCATACTCGCGCGCTGGAATCACAAAGGGCTGGGACACCTGAATCGTAATATATACAAGCATATATGCATATACACAAGTACGCATAGATGCATTATTCCTATATGTGTATATACATACTATCGCATGCGCGCCGTCTGGAGATGGTGCGTCTCATGTATCTCAGTCACGAGACTGCAAATGGGCTTAATGGCCACATGTCGTCGCACTTGACCGATCATCGCTCGCGGCGGAAACGCGCAACCGACTCGTCAGTATTGCGCTTATCTCAAAATTCGCGCTGGTCACTCTGACGCGTGTTTTTAACATTACATGATCGTGTGTTTTGTGCGCAGATGCTGGGTGCCAGTCGGTGTCTAATGGAGTTACATGGATGACGGTTCCTGATGTACCTACCACAAGCAGGGGAACGTCACTGGCCCTGACATTTGTCGGCCTATATCTGTATATATGTGTGACAACGCATCTACGTACATCTACTCATAAATCCGTGCGGACTACCTGCAGTCGTACCGATGATGGCCCTTCTGGGCCATTCCATGACAGTCAGCTTCATATGATGATAACGCACGATTTGGGCCGACTCCCAAGATCTGATCATGTGCCTGTTGCACACAACTGTTCAACCGTTTGGTGATTCCGCGCCTGCCAGCAGATTCTGCAATCCGTGGAGTGATCTCAAGTCCTGCGCCAAACCCCTCGGGTCTCGGTGGTCAATCCTGGGGGGGGGTCTTTGCGGCCCAGACACCTCCTCTCCAATCTACCGAGGCTTCCCGCGTGCCCCGCGGGGTTTCTCGCAACGTGTCGTGCTACTTTTTCGGGGCGCGTGGAGCCCCAAGACGGGCCGCGAGGGTCCCAAAAGACTCCCACGACGGTCCAAAATGACCCCGAGTCGCCGAACAATCGGCCCAAGACGCCCAAGATGGCCTCCAGTCGGCCGAAAAATCGCCCAACAAAAAACCCCAAGAGGCCACCAAGAGCAACCCCACTACAGCCCCGAGAGGCCAAAATCACTGGTCCCCCCTTCGGTTTTCGAAGAACTTGGGCTTTCTCGCGCACTTTGCTTCCCGACGTTCCAGGACGGCCCAAAAGGCCCCAAAGATCGCCCCAAGACTGCACAAGAGGCCTCCAAGAGGGCCCCCAAATGGCCAAAGTAGGCCCCAAGGCGGACACACAGGCCTCCAAGACGACCCAACACGCCCCCAAGAGGGCTGCAAGAGGGGGCCCCGACGGGGGACCCGAAGCGACATTTCGAGCCCTCGACCTTCAGAGACACCCCAAAATCATGAGATTGGTTGCTCGGGGGGGGTCGCTAACACGAAACCGACATCTGCGCGGCGCGACACCGAGCGCGTGAATCAACCGAGCCTGCGGTCAGACGAAGCCGCCTAGCACAGCACCGCACTCGAGGATAGAAGCCCGTCGCCTGCCCGAAACCTTCAGCGCGCCAGCGGCGCAGTCAGGGCGGCCGGGGGCTGCAGGGGGGCCCCGCGCCAAAAAGGGTGCACCGAAAGATGCCCCCGAGCGTCCAGAAGCACTCCGACACCTCCAAGGCTTGGCCGAGACATCCCAGGTTGAAGGGGCCCCAGGACACACAAATAAATACACACAAATAAAAATATTCGTCATATGTTCATAGATGTTCTGGGTTTCTGTCTCCCCCCCACTTCCCATATTTTCCAATATTTTCTGGGGAATCGAGGATTGATTGTGTCTGTGTGTTTCTTTCCCTCCTGACAGGCACCCTCCAGAATGACACATGCAGCCAAGATCCAAGAGGGACTCGACTGAGCCAGCGCCAGGCACGTCCAGCACGACAGAGCGCGCGATGGCCCCCCCCCCAAGAAAGGCCCGGCGAGCCCCAGGACAGGCCCCGCCTGGAGGCCCGCGGAGAGCCACCCAGATGCGCACGGGGCAACAGCGCAGCCCAGATCCGCGGCCGGCGAGATGACAGAAGTGGCTGCCTGGGCCAGCCCAAAAGACCCCAAGCATCCCAGATGTCACCGAAGGCGCCAGCGTCGTCGTCGCCGCCGCCGAGGATCAAGGCTCGAGGCTCGTGGCTTGAAGATCGAGGCTCGTTGGTCGAGGATCGAGGATGGAGGGTGGAGGATCGAGGGTCGAGGGTCGAGGATCGAGAATCGAGGATCGAGGATCGAGGGTCCAGGAGGCGGACGCCGCGCGCGCCCCGAAGCGGAGGGCCGATCGGCGCAGGGCCCGCCGAGCCCGCGCTGGAGCGCGCGCAGCGACCAGCGGTGCGGCGGGCGCAGCTCCGCGCCGAGAGCACGCGGGAAACATACAGATAATATACACCCTGCGAAATGCTTAAGAAATCATGGGTTAAGAAATTCATAGTCTTAGTCTCAGAACTTGAATGAAAACCCAACATGTCGATTAAAATCTTAAGACTTACATTGAAACGTTAAGAATAATCGAGACTCTGGCCGAAAAATTGGGTTTTCTTAAGCATCGCCTAGGGTGTATTACGCGACCTGGGTCCCATCGACCTTGTAAGATCGCCTTCAAGGATGCGCTGCTTAAGGGAGATCGGGCCGCGGACAAGCAGCCGTGTGTGGACCAAGTTCCTGTTCGGGCTCGATCCAACCAACGGAAAAGCCGACACATCGTGCCGCCTGGCGCTTGACACTGATCCAGATTCGCAAATGTCTGGCACGTTGGCCATTCTCGAAGAGTCCAGCGGCTTCTCGGGATGGCAATATTTACTTGGTTGACGCTTTCGGCGGAAGTAACAAACAACTATTAGGGCACGCCGCACAAGAATGTGCTGCAACGCCTGAACAAACAAAAAAAAGAAAACGACAAATGAATGGAAAATCCAGAACTAATGTTCAGGAGGCACCTGGGAGGCCGCAAGAGGCCTCCAGGAGGCGTCAAAAAGCCCCCAAGAGGCCCCCAGGAACCCCGAAGAGGTCCCCGAGAGGCCCCCGAGAGGCTCCCAAGAGGCATCCCCACTGCCTCCCGAAGCCCCCGAGAGCCTGCCGAAGAGACCTCAAGAAGCATGCAAGAGAAGTCTGACCCACAACCCAGGCACGGTGGTGGAGTGGACCCAAGGCCATGGGGTATGCGCAAAAACTAAAACTTCCACGGCCAGTGCTGATAAGCATACAAATTTACCCCGCGATCGCGATTTGCAAATACTGCACAAACTCAACCGAGGCCTCCACAGAACATGTGGTGGGAGCAGGCATGCACCTGGCGAACCCATCCCCTGCAAACAGCATGTCCGACCTGCAATATGTGAAGTAGTTTGGAGAGGGGAGAACAAACAACCCCTCACCTACATTGGACATCTCAACCGTTCTGAACGCTAGCGTCGTGCGTTGCGGTCTCATAACCACTACAAACTATGATCCCGTCTCGCACCTTGTCCCCTGTTACGTTGATCAGGCCCTTGCAACGGTCAATATGTTGTCTCAGGCTGTAGCACCTTTCGGTTGCCGTTGCTTACTTGCGCGAAGGCGTTTCATAACTTCTCGCTCCATTGTCGAAACTTGCCCCCGTCCTCAGAGAATCGCGGTAGCCTCTGAATCCCATAGACTCGAAGATCTGGCGTCGGCAACTTTCCTGACGATATTGGGCGATCCATGTTCTAGGTGACACCAGCCCTCGCCAATGCCACTTCGATACTAGAATGTGTGAACTGGTCGAGGCTGGTAACTGCTTGCTTACCCGTCGTAGATTGGCATTTTCTTACGCGTGCTAGTATAACGATTGCTAGCGTACGCCTTTTCATTATGATGTGTACTCGTATGTTCCCTGTTGTTCTGCGTGTTTGCTCCTCTTGCTGATCACCATTGAATGCCATTGACAGCATCGCACCCATGTTGGCTGCCATATGTAACATTATGAAGGCTCCCCCTGGGTCACCATGTTTGTTATGTTGGTCCGCCTGCTGCTTATTGTCATTGGCGTAACCATCGTGGTAGTCCTGTGTGGCAACAGTTTTCTCGGCAGAACGATCGCAAACCAACTCAACAAGTGTGTGTATGTATGTGTCGCTCGCCGCCTGATGACGTCTTACAACACTTGAGCCACAAAGCAAGAGTGGACTGGCTTTTCCTTGTTTACCGCGGTGGTTTCGCTCTTCAAATATCATCAACCCTCTCCCTCATGTTCCTCTTCCGCCTCCTCCTCGCCCTGCTCCCTCATCCTTTTCTTCGTCGAACTGCCCATCGACCTAACTTCCCGCTCTGCTCCTCCTCCTCCTGCCTCCTCCTCCTCGTCCTCCTCCGGGTTCCCCGCGTCATGCCTCCTCGTCCGCTCCTCCCAGACCCCCGACGTCATGATTTCTTCGCAACGTCGATCTCCAAATGTCTCGACACATTCCCCGAGACCCATGGAAGTGTCGACCCCTCCCCCGGGACCGGCTTTTTTCACCCTGAAACGTTTTTTGAAGGCACCTAGGCCAAGAAAGAGCTCCCAAAGGCCGAGGACAGCGGAAAACCTCCCGCCGCGATTCCGCCACAGCGCGAGGTAGAGGACAAACATCCACCCCCATACGAACCACCCCGGCAAGCGAAGCCGTTTAGTGAACGCACCCAAGGAAGAAACCAACCAGGGCAAGGCCGTCCAGTAGACGCCCCAGGGCCGTGTCGTCGAACGTCGTAAGCGCCGATTGTGGGGGTCTGGGTGGCCTTTCCTCCCTTGACGAGGGGCTCGGGGCTCCTCCTCCGCCTCACCCTGCCGCTCCTCGCCCTGCTCCTGCAGGCTCGTGATCTCTGTTCTTTTGGTCGCGGCGCCCAGACGGCTGCGCCTGCCCCCTCCCCTGGACCACCCCCGGGTGGTGGCCCAGCCGGGTGTCGGCGGGGCGCCTTCCGAGGGAAGCCCCCCCCGCCCCCTCGAAGACGCCCCCCTCCCCACCCCCGCCCCTCGGCCCTTCCAGCGCTGACACACAACACTCCAGACCTGTAGACCAACCTGGGCTGCCTCCAGCCTCGACACGGGTTCGGATGCCGACGTCCTGGCGCTATGTTTTAGCCCCCCTGGGAGGTCAGGGCCCCACCCCGCTCCCCCCCTCCCTGCCCCACAAACCCCACTTGGCGGCGCGCACAAGGGGGCCAGGATGTGGGGGGAAGGCTGCTCAGAGGGAGGCTGCTTCCCAGAAGGCGCCGGCCATGCATCTACAGAGGCAGGGCCCACGCCTTCAGGCAGCAGGGGTGCTTCCCAGAGGCCTTCCCCCCCTTCCCCCCTCTGCGCGCGGCTGACCCGCACACACCCCGCCCCCCACCCCCCCCAGCCCCCCCAGCCCCCCCAGCCCCGCCCCATCCCCGTCCTAGGGGAGCAGCATGACACCCATACCGTTAAGTCGGGCGTGTCCCCCTACATGGGGATCTTCGACGAAAAAAAATACTCAAAAAATACTCCCAGATGGTCAAAAAAAACATCGAAATTTCCTCCTGTGGAGGGACGAGCCCGACTTAACCATTCCGCTACTCCGCAGACCTCTCCCGGGGCGCATGCCCGCCAAGATTCCAGGGAGAGCCCATTCGTGGTGAAGAGGGCTGTCCCGGGCGAGCAGCGGCATCGGTGTCTCGTTCGTCTCTGACCTTGTGAGCGCGCCTACACAAAGGCCGCCCACCCCGGCCCCACCCCACCCCTCCTCGAACCCAAGACGCCGTTTGTTTCATGACGTGGAGCGATTATTTGACGGTCCTGGGGTCCTCCAGCAAGGGCCCCAAGAAGCCGAAAATCCCACCAACCCTTTAGGGCCTGAGTGGTTCCGAGCATTTCCTCGTCCAAACCTTCTTCTTTCCCTTCGGGGAGGGATTCATCATTGTTCCCCTATTAATATGCCCCCCCTCCGGGCGACCGGCAGCCAACCAGGAACAATGCCGACCCTATGATCCCCACCCCCAACCATCCCCTTCAAAAACAATACAAGCCGCACTCTGCCTCCAAATTCGGAGCATGCGCAACCAACCCGATGCGGGCCCACCCCCACCATCCCTGTCAACACAATACAAAGTACAAGATGGGGCAAAGTCTTGAGTCATCTTCGTGAGGCCCGCGAGAAGTTTATGTTGTTTTTGTAAATAGACGGCGGGGGTGTCAGCACATATCCTGCTGTGCGCGGGGCCGCCATCCCTGTTTAAAAAAACAAACCGAAATGCACCTCGCGGCTACATCTGGATCATGCGCGGCCAACCCGCGATCACTGTCAAGCGGTTGTTTGCAGAGACGGCGGGGGTGGTGGCGTATGGCCTGCTGTGCGCAGGCCCACCAGACACAATGATGGGCAGTGGTTTTCGACAAGGATGGTGGGCGCCGACAGGCTGTCAGATGTGTGCTGTCACGTGCGCAGGCGCACCTGACACACTCTGCACGGGCCCCAGACGTGGCGCACCTGGCCCAGCTGGAGTATGCGGCACACCTGGCGCACGTGGAGCACGTGGCGCATCTGGGGCACCAGGCGTGCCTGGCACGCTCGGGCCCCAGGGGTGCTTGCGCGCGTAGCGCGCCTGGAACGCGTGGCGTACCTCGCCCTAGCGTCGCGCCCATGGGGGCGGTTTTGGTTCCCAGTAGCTGCCAATCCAAAGACGACCGCTGACCATGCTAAGGCTCGGGTGTTACTCATGTGTTGGGAGGGCGGGTGGGAGCGAGCTAGACGGTTTGCTATCCAGGAGAGTGTCTTGACCCCTCACCCGACCCCCTACCCCTGGACCTGGACGGGGGGGGGCGGGTAGTTAGAGCGTCCAAGATGGCCTCGCGAGAAGATCCAACATCAAGCATGTTACTGTGGCCTGGGGCCAATTCTGGCCTCCTGGGGGGTACGCTAGTTGAGTACCCCTCCTTGTTTGACCGATCACCTCCAAGATGGCCCCGAGATGGCCCCCGAGGCTCCCAATAATGCCCCAAGAGGGCCCCAAGAGGCGCCCAGGAGGCTACAAGAGGCCTCCAAGATGCCCCCAAGAGGCTCCCGAAATGCCCCCAAGAGGCCCGAAGAGGCTCCCCCGAAGCACCCAAGACGCTTCAAGAGGCCTCAGGGACTGCCAATGAGGCCGCCAAGACGCCCCAACAGGCGTACAAGGAAGCTCTCAAGAGACATCCGAAGAGACTCCGAGAAGCATCCCATCCGCCTAATCATCCTCCTCGCACCCGCCCCCCTCTCCCCCTCCCCCTTCCCCTCCCCCTCACCCTTCCCCTACCCATCCTTTTCCTCCTCCTCCTCCTCCTCCTCCTCCTCCTCCTCCTCCTCCTGCTCCTCCTGCTCCTCCTGCTCCCCCTCCTCTGGTTCCTCCTCCATCCCCCCCCCCCCCGTGGGGCGTGACGGCCTCCCAGCCGCTCTTCCACTGCGTGCTCCCCCACATGCCCGATCGGTGCCACTCGCCTGGGAATCTTTTCTGGGAAGAGCAAAACGCACCGATACCGCTGCTCCCTGGACCTCTCCCGGGGCGCATTCTGACCAGGATTTCGAGGCGACTCCAGCGGTGGCGACGAGGGCCTCCCCAGAGGCCCAAACGTGGGAAAACGAGGGAACGGCATAGAGGTATGGGTGCCTGTTCCTCCTCCTATTTTCTGGATGGGCGGTTGGGGTTACGCGAACGGTCTAGAATATGCACGAGCCTCTCATGGTGATTTCTTCATGGCCCGCGGGGGTTTGGGTTAGGTCGGGCATGTCCTCCTACAGGCGAATTTCTGAAGAAAAATGCAAGTAACAAAAAATATCGTCCGCTGACGATGTGTGACTATGTTTGAAGATTCCTCCTGTAGAAGGAGAAGGCCTTCTCAGAAGGCTCGGAAGTCCCCCGGCCTTCTGAGAAATGTTATGAGCTTTCCCCGAAGACAACAGAACCTTCTCAGAAGGCGCCAGGGCTTCTGAGAAGCCCCGCCGCCTTCTGAGAAGGCCTTCTCCCTCTCACGTCCCCCCCCCCTCGCTCGCCGCCGACCCATGGCCCGCAAGAGAATTTGAAAATAAGGGGAAGCACAAAAATAGTCCAACAACTGATCCCCAGATTCTCCTTCTCGCGTCCCCCCCTCGCTCGCCGCCGACCCATGGCCCGCAAGAGAGTTTAAAAAGAAGGGGAAGCACAAAACTAGTCAAACAACTCATCCCCCGACTATTGTTGCTACTACGCTTGAAAGCTTCTCCTGTAGAGGGACATGCCCGACGAAGGTTTGGGGCAGCACAAAAAATAGCCAAACAAATTATCCCCAGACTATTGTTGTTACCATGCTTGAAAACTTCCCCTGTAGAGGGACATGCCCGACGGCAGGCTTGGGGCGCGCGCGAGCGCGCGCGCTGCCGCACGGGGCAGAAGCGCGGGCGGCGAGGCGGCGCGCCGAGCGGCGCCAGGAAACCCCGGGCACCGCGGGGGGGGGGGGGGGGCCTGCCAGCGCGAGGAGCCGCCGCGCGGGGCCGCCGAAGGGCGTGTCCCCGAAGTGCTGGGCGGCGGCGGCGGCGGAGGCGGCGGCTCCGGAGCTGAACTTCGGTCGGGGATCCTCCTCCTCCTCCCTTCTCCTTTTCCTCCTCCCTCCCCCTCCTCCTCCCTCCTCCTCCTCCTCCTCCTCCTCCCTCCTCCTCTCTCCTCCCTCCTCCCCCTCCTCCTCCCCCTCCGCCTCCTCCTCCTCCTCTCCTCCGCCCTCCCTCCTCCTCCTCCTCCCTCCCTCCTCCTCCCCCTCTCCTCCTCCGCCTCCTCCTCCTCCTCCTCCTCCTCTTGGAGGTTGCCCCCCAGGACTATTCCGGGAGGCGACGGCTCCAGAGCTGAACACACACCACAAAACAGCAGCCTACAACAGAAACACCAACGAACAAACGAGTTGAATCGGGGGAGCGCCTTGACAACATGTCCGAACAAACATCACCAAAACAAATCTTCGACGCCCCAGGGGACTCAAAAAGGATCTCAAACTGGATCTTGCCCCTCGGAAATCTCCCGGAAAATCTCCCGGGAAATCTCCTTGGGAATCTTGCCCCTCGGGCTAAACCCACACAACAAAACAACAGCCCACCAATAAACACAAACGAACAAGCACACAGACACCGACACCACACACACACACACACACACAAACAAACAAACAGACAAACAAACAAATACACAAACAAAAAACTGCCCGTTCCGCAGGTGTGCTTCCAGGAGCTGCAACCAACAGAAGGAACGGCCCGCGAAGAGAAGCCGACCCAGGCGACGGTGCCAAGAGCTCTGGGGCCCATCTCTGGAGAAAACCGGCGTCGAACGCCTGGTGACGACGACAACGACGACGACAACGACGACGACGACGACGACGACGACGGCCACAACGACGAACGACAACGGCGACGACAACGGCGACGACAACGGCGGCGACGGCGACGACGATCGGGTTTCTGGTCTGCGCGCCCAGAACGGAAAAACGTGCTGCCTTGTATGTACAGCATACATGTGATGCTCATACAGCGCATGCGTATACCTATAGAAACGCATGCATGTTTACAAACACATATGCAGTATGTATGCATGGTGCCTGATATACCAATGAAGCGTGGGTACATCGTATATGTATCAACATGTGGATATGCATATACAAGCCCGACAGCAATATAACCGCATGCGCCGTTATCCTATGTTGAACCCTTGGCTGCCAGAATCCCGATCATGCCCAGCACTAGGCATTTCAGATCAGATTGGCGCTTACGCCACCACAGGCCCAGGAGTCACTTTGTCACATCGACCATACTGCTGCTCTCCCGTAATTCTGGAAGGACCGTATCCGAAGGGAAAACATTATCGTATCTTATCGCTGAATGGTGGCTCGAGGTACTGACATACATGTATACCACACATGCACCAGAGGAAAAACAACAACGACAACAACAACAACAACGACAACAACAACATCATCATCAACAACAACAAAGGATCTCACTCGCACAGGTTTTAACTTGGCGTGCCGACGGGATGCAGTGAACGGCCCATGCGGGACAACAACAACCACATCATCATCAACAACGACGACAACAACACAACGACAACGACTACAACGACAACAACAACGACAACAACAACGACAACAACAGCAACAACAACAACAACAACAACAACAACAATGAGGACATACTTTCATACCCCCCCCACCCCAGTCCCGGCACCCCCTGGCACCCCCAGGTGGTCGACGACACTCTGATATCAGGGGTGATGGAGGGAGGGGGGAGGGGAGGAGGGAAGAGGGGATGAGGGAAGGAGGGATGGAGGGGATGAGGGAAGGAGGGAAGGAGAAGGAAGGAGGAAGAAGTGGCGAGAGCGAGAAGGAATGGGAATGAGGGGAGGAAAAAAGGAGGGAAGGAGGAGGGATGCAGGAGGGGGCGGAGGAGGACACAGGGGAGGAGGGGAGGAGGAGAAGATGAGGGAAGGAGGGAATGAGGAGGGACGAGGGAAGGGAGGGAGCGAGGAGGAAGGGGGGGTGCAGGAGGAGAGGAAGCGAGGGAAATATCGCGAGGTAGTGGGGCGCGAGACGAGGAGCGGGGGAAGGAGTGAGGGGAGGAGTGAGAAAGGGGTGAAGAGGGAGAGAGGAGGGGAGAGAGGAGCGAGGGGACGAGCTAGGAAGAAAGGAGCGTGGGGAGGAGGTGAATGAGGGACGGAACGGGAGGAGCGAGGAGTGCAGAGCGAGGATGGAAGGGGCAAGCGAATGAAGGAAGGAGGGCGGGGAGGAGGTGAGCGGGTAGGGTGACGAGGGATAGAAGAGGAGTAGCGACAAGTGATGCTGGGGGAGGGACCCCCCAGTCCTCGCAGCGCCCCCGAAGGAGCGTTACAAGCGCACCTAAGTGCGCTATTTCGGTGACCCAAAACGATCGGGGGTATCTTGGGGGGAGGCCCGCCGCGCTCGAGACATCCCCCCAAAACGCTAGGATTTCTTACCCCCCACCCCGGTCCCGGCTACACCCTCCAGGGCCTCCGAAAGAGCCCCCGTGGGGAGTCCCGAGGAGCGCCGCGCAAAGAGGCGCCGCCCTCGAGACGTCCCCAAAAAACCCTGGTCCCGGCAGCACCCCCCACCCCAGTCCCGGCAGCACCCCCCAACCCCCACCCCCCAGTCCTGGCAGCACCCCCCACCCCAATCCCCGGGGGCCTCTTGGAGGCCTCCTGGGAGCCTCTTGGAGGCCCCCAGGAGGCCTTGCGAGCCTCGGAAGGCCTCGGAAGCCCTCCAAAGCCCTGGCAGGCCCTAGAACACCCTCGGAACCCCAGGACCCAGCACCTCCCAAGGCGTTCCAGGGAAACGACTAACGAGTGACCGGCACTTTCCCACCGTCAACATCCGAACCTCGGGTCCCTCCATGTACCTCACCTCCTTATCACAACCTCGGATCACTCTACTTACCTCGCCCTCCTCAAAACTTCCATATCCCCCACCAGGATGACATGAAAGAATGAGGAGGGGGAGGACGAGGAGGAGGAGAAATGAGAGGGAAGGGCGAGGAAGAGGAAGAGGGGACAAGAAATGAAAGGATGAGTGTGGAGCTGGGCAACGCGCGCGCGCGCGCAAGCCAATGCAATGCAACGCAACGCCATGCAATACAACCCGGTGCAATGAACGCAATGAGCACACATACTGTTTTTGGGCCCTGGGGGATTTTTTGGAACCCAGCGCCGTTACCGGGGAGGGGGGTATGCTATCCTGTAGCGAAACAAGGTAACAACACCACCTGCAGGCCAAGTCGAACCCCAGCGTTCCTTCGATCGCGCATGTAGCGCAGCCCCTCAAACAGCGGAAGAAAGGACGGACGGAAGGAGGAGGGAGAAGCCTGGAGCACGAGAGAAACGACCAGGATAGGGGGCCAGGAACAGAAAGCCCGTGGCAAAACCAGGCGGGCACACTGGGCAGGCAGACTCTAGCGGGCGGGCAGGGAAGGCGGGCCCAGGCGTCCAGGTCGAACAGGCGGGATGCTGAAGCGTGAGTCCTGCATGGATCGCGAAGAAGTATCGAGCAACAACGCGATTCACAAGTAGACCGCGAGGAAGGCCAAAGCGAGAGCGTGATTCCTGAGTGGCGAAGGCGCGGCGTCTGAATAAATTGCGAGGCTGTCCATCGCGAGAGCGCGATTCCTCCATACATTGTGAGCACGTCCCGCGTGAAAGCGCGATTTTGGAATACAGCGCTAAGAAATACCAGGCGGGAGCACTTGTTGTTAGTTCGGGCCCCAACAATGCAATTTGAGCACAAAGACTTTCCTTGCGAAAAAGCAGGGTGCAAGTTCCGAGGAGGGCACTTCACTTGAAAACACATTGTGCACCAGTGAGGGGGAACAACCATAATTTACTTCATGAATGAAATTTTCAACTAGGCACGCCGTAGGTGAATTGACAACGCTCTGCGGGAGCGAAACCGAAACTGAAGTTGTAACACACACACACACAACTTCTCCGATTCCCCCGCACCCCCTCCACCCTCAGTTGCTCCCTGTCCGGCGAAGTAACAACACCGCCGAAGCGTCCTCAAGGAGCAACACACAAGCAGCAGAATTACCAACGAAGGCCGCCACACTCATTCAAACCAAAACGCACTCACTGGCCCCCCGCCCCCCCCCTCCACTCCGCCATCCTCTCCTGCACCCCCTCCCTGTCCTGCCTTTCAGTCCTGTCATTATCATACCCCCCCCCCTTTCGCTCTCCCTCCAATCCTCCCATCGCGCCCTCCCACCCCCGTCCCGCCCTCCCCACTCCTTCCCCCCGCTCCCTGCCTGGACCAGCAGAAGAGCACGGGGAGTCATCCCACTTGGCGCGCCCCACTCGGAGTCGCTGCCGCCCTGCCCCTGGCCCGCACCGCTTCAGGGACACCGGCTGCACCAGAGAAGGCCGCCCGCAGCGCGAACGCCATCTGTTTGCAAACGCCGCGAAACGGCGAGCTGCGCACATAGTTATGACCCGGTGCCGACGATTGCACGGCAAGGGCAGGCCCAAGCCGGGATGCGCAACGGCATGTTAACACCGCAGAGGCCCAGGGGAGGACGAGGGCGGCTGCGGAGCAAGGGCCGCGGGCGGGCAAGTCGCTCACAACGTGCAGTTTTTCCCGCCGGCGAAGGCGGCCCAGGCTCCAGGCAGGAGTCGTGCGAGGCGAGATGCCCACACAGGGGGGCGCCAAGCCCATCCTGGGCCGCAGGATCGGCGACGGCGCCCCAACTGGCGCCCGCTCCAGGGAGCCTCGGCTGACCTCAACAGGCAGCCCCAGCTGGCCTCAACTGGCCTCACTCGGACGTTTCACCTGACAAGTTCGTGAAGAGTGTGTGGCTTCTTGGCGGTCTCTTGGGAGCCTCGCAAGGGCATGTTGGAGACGTCTTGGGGGTCTCGTGGAGCCCCCGAGGGGGCCGCTTGGGGGACGCAGGAGAACGCTAAGGATAGAAACTTGGCAAAAATACTGAAACGAACTAGAAGCACACCACGTCCAGGTGCCGAAACGTATAAACGGGCCAACGCAACGAGGTCATGGGTTCAATGTACAAGCAAAATGCGCGTAGCGTCTGCCAAGGCGAACAGCTGCAAACGAGCTGGCTGATGAAACCAAGCTCCTGCTGGAAGATGCGTGCACTCTCCTTCAACTTTGAAACTCTGGCGAACTCGTCCGCGGACCCCCACGCAGTGAACAGCTTATCCAACATCCGTCAGCCCTCCGTGGGACAGAAAGGCCTGTGAGAGGCAAACAATTTCAGCAGAACATCTCACGCCACACAATAATACAGCATCAGGCCTGAGCATGCCATTAGCGCCAGTGCAGCAGAACGTTGTCAGTTCCCCGCTACGAGAGAATTCGAAGAACATCTGATCACAAACACACACACACACACACACACACAACACAACACACACACAAAACCATACATTAACAGCATATAGCTCAACTGCAGAGCGGAACGCTCATGGATCGACCTTCCCCCCACCAGCCGAAACGGGGGGGGGGAGTCGGGGCGTCCAGGAGTGGGTACATAAAGCAGTGGCCGCCCCCCCAGCGGAGAATGTGATCCAGAACCGATCGCGGCCGCTGCTGGGCAGGCGATGGTTTGCCTTCGGTCGGGCGTCTCCCCCTATTGTACGAAACGTTTAAAAAAATATGCTCAACCATCTCCAACGATAGTCAAAAAATCGTCCCTGGACACTTCTTGACTATTCTTGAATATTCCTCCTGTAGAGGGACGTGCCCGACTTACGGCCTGCCTCAATTCGAACAGCGCCCGCGGCAACACCGACAGCGAGTCCTGTTCAAAACGGACAGGAACTGCTGCTGGTCTTCGTCACCACTCTTTGCGCATCCAGGTCGGCCGCACCACAACGGGGGTCTGCCAGAGAACGCCAGCAGGCCGCACGGACGCCCCGCAGGAAGTGCACCGCCTCCATGGCCGCGGTGTACTCCTCCCCGGCCGCGGGGACCTGAGGGGGGCGTCCCACTCCGCCTCCTGGCCTCTCCCTCACCCTCCTCGTCCTCTTCCGGGTCCTCGTCCTCTTCAGGGTCCTGGTCTTCCTCTTCCTCGTCCTCCGCCTCCTGCTCCTCCTCCTTCTCCTGCTGCTCCTCCTCCTCCTCCACCTCCTCCACTTCCTCCTCATCTCCTCCTCCGTCTCGCCATCCGTCTCCTCGTCCGCCTCCTCATACGCCTCCTCCTCCTCCTCCGCGTCTTCTTCCTCCTCCTCCTCGTCCTCCTCCTCCTCGTCCTCCGCCTCATCCTTTCCTTTCTCCTCCTCAACCTCCTCCTCCTCCTGATTTTCCTCGGCCAGCGAAATGACGTCACTGCCGCGAGAGCAAGGTTCGGGTGCGACCGAGCTGGTTGCACCCAGCCTCGAGGCCCAATCCCGCCGCCGTGAAGGAGGACTGCTCAGAGCCCCGGTCCTGAAGAGAAGGCGCACGGCCCGCGGCCCCAGCAGCCCTCGAAAGTGGCGACAGTTTCACACTTCGCAGCCCCCCAAGGGATGGCGAGGTCTCGTTTGGGTCTGCGTGGGGCTCCACTATGCTGGCCTCCCCAGCAGCCCTCGAAAGGGGCGACAGCTTCACACTTCGCAGCCCCCAAGAGGGATGCGAGAGGAGAGAGCCGAGAGGACAGCGGGGGGGGGCGGCAGGAGAAGGAGAAGGGAGTCGGCGCTCCACTGCCCTATTCAAAACGAGAACCCAGCCAACAAAGGGCTGGGATAAATTTTCAGAATTCACGGATTGCGGTAGGTTTCTGTTCCAGATGTGGCTCTCGCCTTAGCGTCGCGCACAGCCGTCTTAAGAAATTGCAAAGAGTGTCACGGGTTCTCATGGCTAACATTCCAGAAAAGGTTGTTTGGAGCGGGTCAGGATGATCAGGGCGCATCAGTTACGTTGATTTGCAGTGCTGAAGGGTTAGGAACGGCGTTCTGACACAATTCAGGATGGTCTAGACGCAACAGTCAGGTTCACTTGTGGCGATGAAATCCTTGGGATGGTGTTCTGGTACGTGTCAAGATCTTCATTCGGTTCCAAGCGGCGTACAAGAAGGAACTTGGAGGGAGGGTGTATTCCTTATCTGTGATGAGTCGTGGGTTTCCACTGGCCCCCCCCTCCTCCTGTCCTCCTCCTCCCCCTCCTCCTCCTCCTCCTCCGCCTCCTCCTCTCGCTTCCTCCTCCTACTCTCCTCCTCCTTCCTCCTCCTCCTTCTCCTTCTCCTCCCTCCTCCTCCTCCTCCTCCTCCTCCGCCTCCGCCTCCTCCTCCTCCGTCTCCGCCACCTCCTCCTCCTTCTCTCCTCCTCAGGGTGCCAGGATAACGCTTCCAGGTGCTGGATGTGTTATCGATTAACTGGAAGGGCGGTCTTAGTCCCACCAGCCCTCTGGGCGTAGGTGGTCTAGGGAGCTTCCTCTTCCAACCCCTCCCTCTTCCCATTCGGGGAGGGGGTCACCCCTCCCCCTACCCCCTCCTTTGGACCTGGAGGGGGGGGGGGTCGCGAGGGGGTGGAGCGTCCATGATGACCCAAGATGGCTCTAGGAGTGCCTCAGGGAGCCCAAGATGACCTCCAAGATGGCTCAAGATAGCCCAAGATGGCTCAAGATGGCTCCCAAGATGCCTCAAGAGGCCCCAAGGCCGCTCCAAAACGGCTCCGAGCGGCCACAGCGCCTCCCCAGGAGGCCGCCAAGAGGCCCAAACCCTTCAAACACCTAAAAACAAACAATGTCGTTGCCTCCTCGCATTGTCGCGTCCGCTGGCCTTTCGAGGCCTCAAGACAGCTCCAAGAGGGCCCCTGAGGGCCCAAAGAGAGGCCCAAGAGAGCTCCAAGATGGCCCCCAAAGCGCCCAAGAGCGCTCCAAGTCCAAGAGGGGTCCAAGAGACGATGTTAGGCACTCTAGAGGAGCGAAGCTATTTGAAGCTCCTCCCTACTTTAATCGATGACCTCCAAGATGGCTCCAAGAGCGCCCCCACGCCTCCCAAATATGCCCCAAGAGAGGCCAATGGGCGCTAAGGAGGCCCCAAGAGCGCCCAAGAGGCCTCCAAGAGGCTCCCCAAGAGCGCGTCCTCCTCCTCCTCCTCCTCCTCCTCCTCCTCCTCCTCCTCCTCCGCCTCCTCCTCCTCTTCCCCATCCTCCTCTTAGTATAGGGTTAGTGTTTTTTTTACCGTCGTATATGTATGCGTGTTGTAAGAGTGCTTGTACTTATTACATTATTACTAATATAAATCGTCGTCTTAGTCGTGTTACGACTATTAGTTTATTATCAGTAGTGCTCGCATTATTAGTGTTAGCATTATTATGCGTGCTCTTAGTATGCTTCTTATCAGTATTTTAAGTCGTCGTGGACTTATTATTGTTATGAGTTTCCTTTATCATAGCATAAGTAGTATAACTTCGTATGAGTGTTATTTATAATGGTAATATGAGTATGCTTCGCCTTCTTCATGTGAGGAATTCTTTGTACGATTCGTATTATTATGTTTTTTTTCGTAATACTATTATTCCTCCTTTTCCTCCTCCTCCTCCTCCTCCTCCCCCTCATCCCCCTTGTCACAGGCTGATCAAAAACTTCAGTTTGACGGCTTCCCCAGCTCTTGATCCACTGTATGTTCCTCCGCTTCCCTGATCAAGACAACTCGCCTGGGCATCTTTTGTGGATGGGCTGGGCTGGTGGGGATACTTTTTGTTCTGCGGGCGCGCGAAACGAATCGGACGCCGAGCAAGCAGGGCAGCGTGTGCAACCTGCAAAGGCAAAAACAGGACGAGAGCACATAAGGTAAGATTTACTTCATGAGGTTAGTCGATGCCCTACTCGAACTCTCAGAGGCCTCCCAGATGGGGTCTGAGCAGATGAGGTCGGAGGAGCGCGCCGCATCGCCGATGGATCGCCAATGCATCGCCGATGCGTCGGCGACGCTGGCGATGCATCGGCGCCGCCGGCGTGGAGAAAATCGGGCTCCACATCGAGCCGCACCGTCGATGCATCGGCGATGTGCGGCACGATCCTCTGCCCTCATCTGCTCGGACCCCATCCAGGAGGCCCGGATTCATGGCGAGCACAGGCAGGCCTCACATGATGAGCCTGTTTTCCACCACCACCACCACCACCACCATCAGTTGGAGGGGGAAAGGAGGAGGGCGAGGAGGAGGAGGAGGAGGACGAGAGGAGGAGAAGGAGGAGGGGCAGGAGGAGGAGGAGAGGGGTGAGGAGGAGGAGGAGGAGGAGGAGGAGGAGGAGGAGGAGGAGGATAAGGAGAAGGATAAGGAGAAGGAGGTGGAGAAGGAGGAGGACCCCCCCCTCCAACTTATGGTGGTGGTGGTGGAAAACACAAGGAGGTTCTCTCGCGCACGAGGCCCAATGGCCGCTCGCCCCTCGGGGCAGCCTCCGCGGACCGCGGAGGGGAAGGGCGAGCCCACCCCGGCCACTCCGCCGCCCCAGCAGAAAGATGGACTACTTACCAGACCACCGCAACCCAACCCGAAGACCCGACTTTCGGGTTGGGGGGGGGGACGGCTTCCTATTGTGTTTTCTCAACGTTCTCCGACCCCCCCCCCCACTGGAAATGGAAGGCAAATTGAGGCCCTCGGCTTGGGTTGGGGTGGTTTGGTGGGTGGTGAAAGATGGGGTGCGGGGCCCCGGTCGCGACGTTCTGCGACACCGCCATGGCTCCGCAGCGTCGGACCCCGAGACGTTCTCTCCTCGCCATCCCCCCTCCCCTTTCGCTGCAGGGGGGGCCGCGAGCATCAGCTCGCCCACGAGCCGCGCCGCCTCCTCGAACGTGGCCTCGAAGGCCTCCAGCGGGTCGAAGTCGAGGACGGGTGCCACCTGGCCCGCGTGCGCACCAGGCCGCCGCGAGGACTGCTTCGGTCGGCGGAGGAGGCCAAAAAGGGGCCCCGGGACATGCAAAAATTAGGGGCGCGCAAACATGGACGTTTTTTGGTCTGCGGGTCGGGAGCGGGCCCCTTCCGGTCAAGAGCTAAACGGGACGCGGGTAGCCCTAATTGGGGAGACAGGGCGCGGGCGGGCGGGGCCTCAGGCGGCCGGAGGGCTCAGAAAGCAGGCGGTGCCGAAGATCTTGCACAGGGCAGGGTACGCCACGGACTGGAGCAGGGGGCGCGGTCCCAGAGGGGAGCGCAAACATGGACACGCAACATCAGGGACTAAGGGGGCCCCGGGACACGCTAAGAAACAGACACGAATCCCAGGATGTTCCCCATATGTTTGTCTCATATCTTCTGGGTTTTCTGGGGGGCGCGCAGACATGGATTGGCGATCCATGGACTCGGCGCGCGGACGCCAAATCCACGGATCGAGGGAGGTGCCCTCCCCAGAATGCGGCCAGTGCCGCCTCGCTCGGCGGCTGAAATCCGCAGTTTCCCATGGAAGCGGGACCCGTCGCTAATCCACGCGCCCTGCGTCCATGTTTGCGATCGCCTGACAAAAGACACAGCTCCCAGGATTCCCAATATTTGTCTTATATGTTTCTGGGTTTTCGTCTTCCCCCCCACTTCCCATATTTCCCCTTGGAGTCGTCGATCAATTGTGTCGGTGTGATTTTTATCCCCTGCTGAGAGACGGCATGCAAACGGATCCGCCCACGACACTGCACGCCCCGTAGACCAGCTCCTCGACAAAGAAGCTCCGCTGAGAGTCAAGGCCCTGGATGCATCGAGATGCTGGGGAGCAAGCTCCCTGACCGAAGGCACCGGCTACAGTAGGGGCCCGACCGCAAGAAACCGGCCACGAGAAACCCAACCCTGAGACCCCAGGACGTCCGTGGACTTCTCGGTATGGGAACGTCGCGCTCTCCACAGCAGAATCATCGAAACACAAGAAACCCAGGGCACCCTGGAGACAGGCAGGGCGTTTCTTGGTATGGGCCCCTACTGTATGTCATGTTCCCCTGTGACGGTCATCTCTGGCACAGCCCCTGCCTTTTGTTCAGCTCTGGGAGGGGGGAGCAGAGAAAAGCCTTACGTCGACTGAAACAAACATCCCACATCAGCTCGGACGATTCTAAGACCGTGGTAGGCATCACTGGTTTGCTGCCAGCTGGGTGAAGCAGACATCCAAACTGCGTAGACCTTCACACGAACACCGCCAGCACCGTTGGCAGAGCCACCGCCACGGCCAAAGCCACAACGACAAGCAACCACCGACGCTGCCACGACCTTTACGACATTCACTAACGCCGCTCGCGCACAGGTGCGATGGCGGAAACATGACTGCTGGTCTTCCCGCCGAGGCTGCTGCTGATCGCATCCCCTTCTCCCTGTGCCCTTCCCGAGATCCAGCCCCCACGGCCGCGCCCTCCTCATCTTCGTCCTGCCCCCCCATCCCTCGAAGGGAAACACAAAAACCCTTCCTCGGGAGCCTCTATAGCGAACCAAACACTCTAACGAGCTCCTCGACGCTCTCCCTCGGATCGGGCCGCATCGGACCGGAGTCGGAATCGGACCCGATCGGCCGCGCCAAGACGCACAGCCCCTGAGATCCGACGTTGCAACAACAAAAACCCATCGCAAAAAATCGCGACCAGAGCCCCGGACCCCGTCTTTCTGAACCGGATCGATCTGTGAGGGTCCCAGGGCCCGAACTTGAACGAAACCGCGCGTTGTGAACACATTGCGACGCCAGGAGCTCAGAGGCCACGACGGGCGAGCATCGGGCCGCACCGGATCGCGAGAGCAAATGCCAGAATCGAAGCGGGTCGGGCTGGCCGAAATCGGGACCAGGGGGGCACGGCCGTGTGGAAGTCGAGCCGCCCGGTCATAGAGGCATGCGAGACAACTCCTCAAAAAAAGGGGCCCAGCGACACGCCTCCCCCCCACTTACGATATTTCCCATATTTTCCTGGCCGCCTGGGGGTCAACTACTCGCAACGCAACTGCTCGCAAGCGGCGTGGATCCGCCACAGGGGATCCACGATCCATTACATCGGGGCAACACACAGGATGTTTCAGACAATTGCAAGCAGGAGCTTTGCAAGCAGTAGAACGCGTTCGGTGAGTTAGGGCCGCCCCCATTCCATCCTTCGCGGTTCTGGCCTCGCAGCCCCCACGACCACTGCAACTCGCGTCTCCGTTGTTCCTCGGGGCTGGCGCCGTGGTCGTTTCCATTACTCGGGGGACGCCGACGCGTTGTACAGAGGTCGCTTCGCGCGTCCCCAGCTGCGCGATTCAAAAATGGGCCCCTGAGATGAGGCCTGAAAGACGACTGTCCTCAAACAGTGAAGGTTCAGTGTAGGACTCCCTTTGTATCCCCAGGGCACCATGTCTCAAGGACCCTGAGGTCCGACGTTGCGAAAAGATGCGAATTCGCGAACATGACCGACGGGACCCCTTCGACCCCATCTCCCCGCTGCATTTTTAAAAAGCACACTCGTTGAAACGCCGATCAACCTATAGCTCCTCCCCCCCATAGTGGCTGGCGGCAGGGCCCACGTTCCCGCGCTGCTCCGGCGGCGGCGCGGCCGCCGCGGCCGCGGCGTCGTCGGCGGCTCGGGGCGGAAGGGCCTGGCCGCAGCGGGGGGCCACCCCTCCAACTCCTCCTCTCTCTAATACCGCCGTCGGGCGTCCCAGATCCGCGCCGCCGCGCCGCCGCGCGCGCCAGGCGCGCCGCGGGCGGGCGGCGCAAGGGGCCCTCGGTCCACTGGGGGACCCTGTTTCCGAAGGGGGAGGGAGGACGGGGAGATGCCACTTGCCCGTCCACTGTAATCTGAGGCCCACCGAGGGGAGAGGGATGAGGAGGAGCGGCAGGGCCGCTCATGGGATGCCGAAGCGGTTGAGGATGACGCAGTACCTTGCCTGTACCGACGTACATGGCGTACCTCGTCGGTAACGTCGCAGACGAGGTAGCATCACGTCTCCCGGGTGAAAACAATCGTTTGTACCCGGAGCGGTCCGGAATAAGGTCTGCCGTTCCAACAGTCATCATCGCGAGGTGTCACTTGAAGAGCAAGTGGTAGTTCCTGTTAGGCAACGCGCAGGCCTCACAAACGGCGGCACGCAATGGCGATGCGGTTGTTGTGCTCGTCGGAGGAGATGCGGCCCGCCTCGTAGACGGCCTGCACGGTAAGGATCCGCAGCTAGTGTTCTGTCCCTTTTGTCCGGGTAGTTAGCTGCGACATTGCGCGGATCTCGTGGTCAGAGCTCTTCTGACGGCCGTCGTGGCTCAGCTGCTTGCCCTCGTAGTTCCACGTGACCGTCGGAACTCTGCTGGTAGCCCTCGCAGCTCCGCTGGTGGACCTCGTAGTTCAGCAGGTGGCTGGGGTAGCTCAGGCTGCAGCTCTCGTATTTCAGTTGGTGGTCATCGTAGTTCAGAAGTTGGCCCTGGTAGTTTTGGCGGCATTGGTAGTTCAGCTGGTGGCCCTTGAAGCTCTGCTGGTAGCTCTCAACGCTCTTCTGGCAGTCCTTACGGAGCGGGGGGGGGTTCTCGTAGCTCTGCGTGCCCAGGTGGCTCAGCTGGTGGCCCTACATGCTCCGCTCGGTGTCCGTGTAGCTCAGCTAGTGACCCTCGTAGTTGTGCTGGTGGCCCTGGTGGCTCAGCTGGCTTCTTGAGGCAGCTACAGAGAAGTAGATTGGCGGACCTGGTCGGACGGTGGTCCTCGTATCTGCGCGGTAGCTTGAACGTCGTCATGTCCAAGGCAGCGTGGTGGTAGTAGCGTCGTCCCTTCTGGTCAAGGGAGTTGTTCCAGCCACTTGGCAGGGAGGCTGGAGCCGGTGGCTCTCGTAGTTCCATCGTAATTCAGCCGGCGGTCCTCGGAGCCCTGCCCGTGGACCTCGATGCCCTGCTGATGGCCCTGGTAGCTCAGCCCGTGGCCTCAGTTGCTCAGCAGGTGGTCCTCGCATCTCAGCTGGCGGCTGTCCTTGCTCAGCAGGTGGCCCTTGAAGTTCAGCTCGTCGCCCTGGGAGCGATGCTGGAGGCTCTGGATGGACTGCTTGTGGGACCCCCGCATAGCTCAGGCAGTGGCCCTCGTATCTCGGCCTGTGGCCCTCGTGGCTCAGCTGGTGAGCCTCGGAAGTCTGCTGTGGTCCTCTAATTCAGCTCGTCGCCCTAGTCGCTCTGCAAGAGGCTCAGGCACATCTTTCTGTAGTCCGCGTAGATCTGGGCGTGAACCTGGTAGCTCAGCAGGTAGCCCCCGAAGCTCTCGTAACTGTGCATATGCTCCTCGTACCTCAGCTAGCAGACCTCGTGGCTGCCAGTGGCTCTTGTAGCTGTGTCCCTGGCCCTCGTAACTCAGCTCGTCGTCCTCGAAGCGAAGCTGGGGGGCCCGGTAGCTCCCAAGGTGGCTTTTAATAGCTTCGCCTGTAGCGCAGCAGACGGCCATCGTGGTTGAGCTGGTAGTCCTCGTAATCCTGCTCGTGGCTTGCGTACCTCAGCCTGCGGCTTTCGTTGCTCAGCTTGTGGCTCTGCTGGTGGCTCTCGTAGCACGGCAGGTGGGTCTTGAAGCTCTTCTGGTGGTCCCGTAGCCGTGCTTGTGGCCCTCGTAGCACAGCTCGTGGCTCTCGTCATTTTGCTGGGCGCTCTCGCATTTCGGCAAGTGGGTCTTGAAGCTCTTGCGATAAAACTCGTAGCAGTGCGCGTGGCCCTCGTAGTTCAGCCTGCGGTCCCCGAAGATCGGCTGGTGGCCCTGGTAGCTCTGCTGGTGGTTGTAGTAAATCAAGTTCCGGCGCCCACGGGGGCGCCCTCTCCGTCCCAGAAATCCAAATCGGAGCCGTCGGCCGCCAACTCGTGGTGTTCTACGTTCTGGGTGTCCCTGCAGTCCTGGCGGCTGTGGTAGCCTTGCGCCCCGTCGTAGTCCTGCAAGGCGGAAGAGTCCTCGGGATCGTAGGAATACACGTCGTAGGCGGCGCGGCCGTAATCGCATGCGTCGTCGGCAGCGCGGCCGGTGTCCACCGGCACCCCCACGACGACGCGCTTAGTGACCTCTACGGGCTGTTCGGTGGTGTCGTCCCTTTGGTGTCGGTCTTGGTGGCGTACTGGTAATGGTACTCGTGCATGGGCTGCCTGCTACGCAGCTCGCTCTCGTGATTGAGCTGAGGATTACGCAGCTCGTTCTCGCATTTGGGCTGCATGTTGACCAGCTCGTGCTTTGACGCTTTAGCGAGGGCAGTCGTAACAATGATCATGAAGTCGTCGGCTCGAGGCTGTATCCCATGCCTGACGGTGTACTCCACTCGATGTTGGGCTGTGTCTGGTTGCGCCCATGTACCTCTGTGCGTGTATGGTCTCGGCATCAATGCCAGCACGAATACACGGATCTGGGTAAGTCTCGTAGCCTTGTAGTTCAACAGCTGGTGGTTGATGCTGTGGACGCGGTAAGCCTTGGCGTCTAATGAACTCGGTTATTTCACGTCGATATTGATAATGCTCACGTGGATCTTAATGTAAATCACGCTAGTACTGGTGATGACCTTGGCGAGCGTGTCGAACGGCGCGCCGTCCGCCGCGTGGCGACCAGCGCGCTCGGGCCGACCCCCCCTCCCGCGGGTGGTGGGAAGCCCCCCCCCCCAGGAGCCAGAATGGCCCTCCAACTCCTCCTGGTCCTTCTCATCCTCTTCCTCCTCCTGGCGCGTACCCAGGGCTGAGTTCCGCCAGGTCACGTGACACGTTGCATAGCAGCCCTCGCTACTGGAGTGATCGCTGAAGCGACAGCGTCGGTGACAGGTACAGGTAAACGTGAAAGATGACAATATTGAGTGAAAGCGCCCTCCTCCTCCTCCTCCTCCTCCTCATCATCATCATCCTCATCATAAGCACCGTCACCGGCATCGTCATCGCCAACACCACAGTCATCGTCATCGTCATCGTGATCGTCGTAGTCATCATCATAATTATCATCAGCAGCATCAGCATCATCATAATCATCATCAGCGTCGTCATCGTCATCAGCAGCAGGAGTCATCGGTATCATCATCAGAATCCTCAGCATAGTCAGACTCATCATCAGCATCATGATCACAATCAGCATAATCATCCTAATCATCAGCATCATCATCATCAACAACAGCATCGCCAACAGTATCATCGTCATTATGCTCATCAACGCCGACATCAACATCATCGTCCTCTTCGTCATCGTCGTCGTAATAATCAACTTCTTCACCGTCATCATCATCATCATCAGCAGCAGCAGCATCATCATCATCAGCATCGTCATCATCATGATCACCATTCTCATAATCAGAATGACAAATTCATCGACAGAAGAAGACCATCATCAGCAACATCATCATGAGCACAACAATGATCGTCAGAACGATCACTTCGGCTGGCATCATCATCGCCATCAGCATCAGTATCGTCGCCGTCCTCATCATAAGCATCAGCATCACCATCATTACCATTATCATCAGCATCATCACAACCACCACCACCACCACCATCATCATCATCACCATCAGCAGCATCATCATCACAACCGTCATCAGCATCGCCATCAGTATCATCATCATCATCATCATCATCATCATCATCAGTATCATCAGCATCATCATCAGCAGCATCATCATCGTCATCATCATCATCATCATCATCACTCATCTTGTTGACTCTTGCGAATCTGCGCTATCCGACGCTATTCGACGATAAACGCTAAATCGACACTAGTCGACTCTATGCGACGCTAACTCGACGCGAATCCGCGCCAAATCTGCGCTTTCTTATCGATCGCCAAACCCTAACGCACGCTAATGCACTTTTAAAGACGGAGTTGCGAGGACATGCAAGGCCCCGTGCATTTGCTACCTAACGACACCCTAAAAACGTCGAAGCGGAGGGCGTTTGATGGGGGGCGGATCGCTGTGCCCCGCGACCGTCAACAAAACGGAACAGGATGAAGAACCTGCTCTGGGGACGGGGCCCCAAAAGGGGCCGCGCCGTGCCTTGGACGACACGGCGGCGGCGGCGACGACTGGGGGGCAGCGCAGCGGGCCGCGAAACGAAACCGACAACAACGATGCCGACGACGACAACGACGGCGACGACGACGACAACGACGACGAAGACAACGACGACGACGACGACGACCGACGGCCGACCGACCGACCAACGACGACGACGACGACGACGACGACGACGACCGTCCCACGGCGGGTGGCGGCCGACAAACCGCGACCGAGGAAGAGACGAAAGACGACGACGGCGACGGCGGCGACGACGACCGATGACGACGACACGGCGACCACGGCGGCGGCAACGACCGCAACGACGACGACGGCGCGTCCGGCGGCGGCGACGACGAGGGCGACGTCGACGGCGACGGCGACGCCGACGACGCGTCGCCCGGGCCGCGCGGCGGGCGCGGCCTCGGGCGAGGCCTCGGGCGAGGCCTCGGGCGAGCGCGCCTCTGCGCGCGCGCCCGGGGCGCCCGGCTGCGGCGGCGGCGGGGCCTGGAGAGGCGTGGAGGGGCGGGCGGGCCAACCGCGCAGCGGTCAGCACCGAGGCAGGAGGCCTCCCGAATGGGGTCGGAGGATAGGGGATGCAGTAGGGGCCCGACCACAAGAGGCCTGCCACGAGAAGCCCAACCCTGAGACCCCAGAACGTCCATTGCTCTTTGGTGCGGGAACGTCGCGCTCTCCACGGCAAAACCATGGAAATCCGGAAACCCAGGGCACCCTGGAGGCAAGCAGGGCATTTCTTGGCATGGGCCCCCGCTGCATGTTGACCCCCTCTCCGAGGCTTCGTGGGTTTTTCGAATGGACCAAAATTTTGGGACCCAGTCCTGGGAAATTCGCCGCATCACTTGTCGTCGGAAAGCCTGGGGCTGCGATAGGAGCATCGCCTGCGAGGCGACCTTCCGCCGCAGCCTACGCGGGCCGCCAGCACGGCAAACTGCACCGGAAGCGAAAGCGCTCACGTGCGACCACCTCACGCGGGCAGCTTTTATGCGCCAGCGTCCGCAGTTGAACAACCCGTCTTTTGGCGTCGCTCGGATGCGGTCTGAGGCACGGCCCGCGGCTACTAAGAAGCAAGAGTGTTTCTGAGAAACCTTCTCCCTCTCCCTCCCTGTCCCCCTCTGGGGGAGGTTGGATGGAGGTAACAACTCTTCTAACTATTCGAGGTGGTAACACACCTTTACAATAAGTAACGCCCACATGGCAATTCAAGTTCGAACGCGCTTCCCAAGCGAGGCTACTGAGTGATGTAGGCGAATGTCGCCCGAGCTTAACCTGATCGATCACCGGCTTGTGCAGCCGAGCGCACTGGAAGAACACAGCGTCATCATCGTCAGCAGCAGCAGCAGTATCATCATCACCAGCATCAACAACATCATCATCAGCATCATAAATCACATTATCACTATCATCAGCATCATAAGCATCGTCATCATCATAGCATCAACGTCACCACCAGCGTCATCATCATCATCGTCACCAGCATCATCATCACACCATCAACGTCATCATCAGCGTCATCAGCACCGCCGTCATCATCAGCAGCATCATCATCATAATCATCGTCATCATCCCTCTGTTCCCCTCTGCGCGTGGCTGAAGAGGGCCCCAGACCCCAGCACTCGTTTGGGCCTCCCGCCGTGGGCCGCCCTTCGGTGGGCCCCCCCCCCTGGCGCCCCAGGGGCCCGACCGTCAGACGGGCGACTCCCGGGCGGTTCTTCGCGAGAGCGGTCACAGTCAACCCATACGGTATGGGCATTTTTGGTCTTACCTCGAGGGCTCGCAAGCACGCCCGTGCCACGCACAGAATTCAGAGGCTCAGGAAAACTGGCCAGGGAGCAGCCGCCCAAACCAGGAAGCCACGCCAGCTCACTCGTCGAGGAGGAGCGTCACGGCATGGGTATTGGATAAGGAACCCGTAGATGAGGAATCCAGGGTCTGGAAGCCGGTGGAGCTCCAACGGTGGATCGGCCATGGACAGCACCGCCGCCCTCATCCGAGAAGGGATCCCCGAGGGTCTGAGGCCACCTGGGCCCAGTCCTTCACGAATGCCCCCACCGCATAGTACGGATGCGCGGTAAGGATGCAAGGGCCCCGGACGCCCATACCGAGGCTCTCCGGGCGATGCTGGCCACCGAAGGTGGCTGAGGATGGACCGAAGATGGCCGGAGAGGCAAGAATGCGGGGGGCACCCTTGGGAGCTCGATCATCCTTACTGTGCGGGTTGACTGTGCCGTCGGGGCTGACTGGAGAGGACACACGAAAGGGCACAAGAACCTGGAGAGGGCCACATTGCCATGCGAATGCCGAAGGCATGGGTCGCGAAACGCAGGACACAAGAGCACCCTTCATTCGGCAGGGTCGACCGACTCATAAACCTCGACTGTAGATGAGGTCGGAGGATCGCGCCGAATCGTCTTTTGTCCGAATATGCACTGGGCGATGTTTTATAATTTGTTTTAACTCGGCGAGTTGGAAATCATTGCTGTCACCTGGTTGGTCCCAGCGAGAGAATAACCATGTATTCGTTTTTGCGTGTTGACCCCATGTTTTGGCTTTTTTAAATCAGCTCACTGCGCTGTTTGACACTGCTGTCTACCACGTCCTCAGTTCCTTCCCCTTGCGCCCAGTCCTCCCCATACCCTGGGCTTCTGAAGAAGAGTGGGGGGTTACCCCCCCCAACGGGGGTCAACCTCGCCTCGTCGTCGCGCCGCAACGGGGGTCGGAGCGCCTTCGGTGCGCGGTGGCAGCCCGCGACGGGGGTCGATGTGGGGCTGTCGGCGGGGGTGACGCCCACCCGACGCTTATTAAGAAACTCGGAATACGTTTCTCACATTCATGTTGCTCTTCTCTGGCCGTCGCTGCTGGCTGGTCGCGGGACCTCCGGGCCTGCTCCGCGCTGGTGTGTTGGTGCGTTTCTGTTAGCGTTTTCGGCCTAGCGCTCTGCGCGCGGCGCGGGAGGAACGGGAGGCGGCAGGAACGCGCGAGCGGGAGCGGAGGCGGCAGTGAAGACAAGGAGCAGCCTTTGGCAGGGAAGCGAAAAAACGCTGAAATAAAATAAGATCCGCAGCGACGGGACTAAAAACACTTGAAACAATACAAAAAAAGCGCTGAACAAACGCAGCGTTATCTTTACCGCTTTAGCCTGCCAAGAGCCTAAGATGAAAAACTGTGAAAAAAAACGTTCACAGCGTT